ATCCTCGGCCCAAATAGGATAACACATCTGACAGAGTTAAGCCTAGGCCCAGTCCCGATGCGGCCCGAGCCAGAATTCCCCATATGAGGCCCATTCGGTATGAAGTATAGCCAGTCCATACCATCTGGACCCAGGCCTCCTGATCCCAGCACACCATCTGGGCCTATGGCCCAATCCGAAGCCCACAGTCAACTACGGATCACACTCCTATTTGAACTCTGATAGGGTAGTCCACTACTATCGCAACTCCTCCAACATCCGCATCCGAATCATACTCAAACTCCCTTTCATGCTAGGATAAGGGAGCCAAAGGATACATCCCAGGGGGAGAACGATTATAATGAGAACTCCCAATCCTACCAGAATTGGGAGACCAGACAGTTACTATTTAAACGGAGGCCAGCTCTCTCAAAAGGAAGATTACATTACACCTTCAGACCCCGGAGTTCTCACTTGAGAACTTCACATTACAGCCATAGTCACAGTCCCCGACTAGACTTCTGGTAAGCTTTCTACTCCCTAACCCTCACTAAATCAGCCTCTTTCAGCCTTGCTGATGTAAGCGTCGGAGTGCCTACGGCAAACACCACCCTAGTGTTTTCCGTCGCTTCACGTTTGTTTCTCTACATGTGCAGGTATAGCAGATCGCTAATGGCCTCAACCTCACGGGATCAGTCCCCCCTTTCCGTACAGGTAGATTTTTACGTCTACAATAAACAAGCTGCTTTAATGAAAATATTAAATTGCTGAAGCCGCATGCTCCCTTGTAATTAACGTCCAATATCCCTTCTTTACAGGACAAGTTACCGAATCAAGTAATAAATTATGACAGATGATCCCAGTTAACTTCTATAGATCCTGTGGATGGGATAAATTTAATTTTACCACCACGTTAGTTATGTGTGATGTAAAGATAATCCCAAAGAATAATCCCAAGTCAAGGAATGGTTGGTACTAAGGATTACTCAAAAATCAGTCATTTTTGTATGATAATGTCACAAGAAAAAAATTTAGATTCGAATTATATATCTTAATGTATGTGATAGTTGATTTAAATAAATTATTCCAAGTTTATTTGGTGGGGACATTTTGGTCCTAACTTATAATAAGCTTTTTTTATCAAAAATCCTGCCCGACCTAGCCTTTTCAATGGTCCACCCCTGTTAACCAAACCCATAATTAAGCTTTGATACATTTATACAACGATAAAACCAACATGTTAGTCCATTGATTATCATGAGAAAGTCATTAAATTAAAGAGAAAGGTCAAGTTCATTTTAATAAGGAATTATAATTAGGATTTGCAATTCTCTTGTTTGCTTATTGGAATTGAGTAAAGAATTGAAATCCCATAGACAATCAAATCCAAAAAAGCATAGGATAAAAGATTCCTCACGATTAACCCCAAGGGGTTGGCTTGACAGTCAAGAATGTTTGCTCCTAAGAATGTTTGTTCTCTTTCTTGATTTCCTGAGTTCAAACCTTGGGGACACCTACCACAATGACATTGTGGTTTACTTAGTCTTTTGGACTTGTAGGATGTTCAATAAATTCCGAGGATTAGTTGAGATGCACGGAAGTTAGCTCGAGCAACCCGGTTACCAAAAAAAAAAAAAAAAAAAGATTCTTCATGATTTTATAAAGAATCCTAATTCTTAGGTTATAGAAGCCAATAAAATTACTTTTTTCGTTTTACCTTATTTTGAATTTAAATTTTTTTTCTTTTAAAGATTTTTATTTTAATGTTTATTATTTATAATTAAGTGATTATTAAATTAGGTATTTGTACATGTTGGCATTTATTTAACAGTTGATCGGACCATCTTTGATCTATGTTGATCACCGTTCCAACATTGATTGGTGTGGACCGGCTATTAAATTATGACTTTCTAGTTCGAATATCTCTTGTTAAAGTAATAATAATAATTAGTTAAAAATATAGTATTAAAGTTTTTACTTTATTATTATTTACATATATAGTATTTTCATAATTTTTAACTTACATTGAATATTTTAATGTTTAGGGTATTTTTGTCACTTATCACATATATACCATTCCATTCCCTCAATATTCAATCTTATAAGTAAACAACATAATCATAATTCATTTTATCCTTTATTCACGATTCGAATTTCTATCATTTTTCATTTCCCTTCCTTTTCTTATAAAATTCTAACAAGTAAACACAACCTCAATGTAGGAAAGTATCAATTTACAGAAAAAATCTATAATACGAGGGTATTACCATCCTTCGGTGAATTGATGCCACTTGTGAAATTTTTTATTTTTTATTTTTTTTTCCCTCTCTTGAATCTTTAAATTAATTGTTATTGGTATTAAATGTAATAACTACTTAGCATATATACATTCATTATCTTGTGGTACCATAGAGCAATACCCCATGGTACTATAGACTTAGCTTTTTTCGGCTCCTCTTATTTTTGCCAAACTCAATTGGTGGCACCTCTAAATGCAATTTCGAATCACTTTTTACACTATGAGTTCTTTTATTCGTTGAACATAACACTTTGACCTCCTCAAAATCAATTTCCTAGGCCCACCCTTGTTTATAATGCTACAAAGGTCCCAATGGCATTGCGGTACCACAAATTATTAAATGCAAGAAATATTTTTTAATTTACTGCCTAACTTGAGATATTTTTTAATTTACTACCTAACTATCATATTAATTATAAAGATAAATAAGAGACAAAAAAAATTCATCATAACATAGCATAAAGGGTTAATAACAATACTCCCTCTTAGATATAATTAAATAACAAAAAACTCCCCTATAATTATAGTAATAATAATATAAATCCTTTTATTGTTAAGTTTTTTATCTTAAGATAAATAACAGAGAGATAATTAGGTAAATATTTGTCAACTAATCATACGTTAAGGGTTCACTAATAATAGGAGAATTAATTTGTATTGTTTTTGAAATTTTAGAGAGAATTTTGTTATTTAATTAACTCCAAGGTCAAATAACCCTTAATATATAAATGCATTAACTTGTTTATGGGTAAATTTTGTCAGGTCCGGCCCAAGTCCAAATCCGTACGGAGCCCAATATCCAATTCGAGAGGCTTAACCTAGACTTGACCAACCCAAAAGCATTAAAAAATATGTTACAGAACTTTCCAAAAGCTTCCTAAATGTTCCTTCATAAAAAAGGCAACAAAATAAGACTAAGATTATATTGCTTGTATAATTAATATTAGTCATCCATCTTAGTAGACATGTACGGATCTGAACCGTTAAGTTTACTTGTAAACTCTTGTATAAAGCTAACTATTCTTAGGTTATTTTTCATATATTCCAAGCATTGTATTCAATTGAGAGTAATACAATAGAGTTTTTCTCTCCATCTTTGTTTTTCGTGGTTTTTTTTTTTTTTTTTTTTTTTTTTTTTTGTTTTTTTTTTTTTTTAAGAGTTTGCAGGTTATTTAGGCTTACTTGGCATCCCAATCTCTTGTTTTTACACTAAGGTCACACGATTCTTCTAGGGTCATATGACACTTGTTACCCTATAGTATCCTTATAATATTCTAAAGGGGTATGTCTAAATTTATGATAATTTTTACTTTCATTTTTAATTTATTTAATTTATCATATTAGTTATTATATTAATTTGTATATAAATTTTCATACAAAGTAACATGTCAATAAATGATTTGGTGATACTATAAAAAATCAATTTAATAAATACATAATAAATAAATTAAAAAGACTTGACAATATAACAATTATATTGCATAATTTTATATGAAAAATTTTATATACATGTTTTGTATAGTATTATATTCATTCTAGGATCCCATTCCTGTCAACCTAAATAATTTCAAATAATAATATTCTGAAATCAGAATTTATTCTAACGCGATTTAAACACGAAGGTATAAAGCATTTTCTCAACAATAATTATTTATTTATTTATTTATAAAGTTTGTCTAATTGTCTCTCACTTTATTATTGGGAAAATCCACTAAAATCGAATTCTTGAGAAAATTAATGAATCAAAGGGTTCCATCAAACCAACTTTTCCTAAGAAGATTAATTACCTGAAAAAGAAAACGGAATCTCAACCGTCCAACTAATAACTTTAAGATCAACCATCTAGATGATCACATTTTCCACAATCCAACGGCCCACAAAATTTAATGTTAAAGACATTACGGGCCCACGAAATTATGTAAATTGACCTCTTACTTTTATGATCTTTTTATGTATCAACTACCTCCGCCATAAAATTTTTAAACAAAATAATTTCCTTAAATTGAAGATGTGCAAATAGTGGAACTTATAATTAACTTAATTTATATTTGAATTTTTTTTATGTTTATAATATTTAATTCAAACAAAAAGAAAGGGTTTGGAAACATTCATTAAACACACTCTAAATTTAAAAATAATATACTTTTATAAAACATTTTTAATTCCTTTATTTATTGATATTTTTGGTAAAAATGTTTAAAGAATATATTTTTAATTTGTTTGGTAAATACTATAACAATAAATATGAATTATTCATACTACTTGTATAAATAAAACCACTAAGTTAGTATATTATTAAATTAATTAAGAAATTAAAACAAAAGAAACTACTACAAGCAAATATATTTAACAAAATAATGATAAAAATAAATAGGTTTGTAATAGACTTTTTAAAGTAGAAATATAAAGATAATGGTTGACTAAAATCTAAATTAAATTAATTTTTGTTTAATTAAAAAATAATTAATTAATATAATATCATATTTTAGATACACTAAGATAAGTGTAATAATATTTATGTATTATAATATAAGATAAGGTGATTCCATTTCCATGCTGCTATTCAATGATTAACGTGACACAGAAACGACCCCACTCAATCTCAATCGTCAGATCAAACTTTTAACTGGACCCCACGATGTGGGATCTGAAAGTTTCTGAAATCGTACGGCCTAGGAATCACCTCTTATTCACTACCAAATCTCCACTCCCTCTCTCTCTCTCTCTGAGTTTTGCGTAAACAATGCAGCACAAGCTCAACAAAAGCTGACGCCACATTTTCTCGAGAAAATGAAAGAAAATAAAAGAAAGTGAGCTTTTTCAACCTTCTATTTCACTCTATCTTCTTTTTTATATATTTGGTACGCGTTTATTCCTCAAATTTATGATTTTTATATAATTTCTCGTCTGGATCTGTTTAATTTTGTCATTTAGGTTATTATTGTGACTTGATTTGTGAAATTGCAAGTGGGTTTTTTTCTTTTGAGTGGTTTTGATTTGATTTGAATGGATTCGGGTATTTGTAGTCATAGTCTTGATTTAAAGTTTTTATTCTTAGTGTAATTTTGTTACGAATTGATTTTTCAAATGTGGTTTGAATTATGGGTTTTTATTATCAGCTCCTGCTATGTATTTAATTGTTAATTTTGATTTATTTGTATAGGAAATTGATGGACCTTGTGGTACCTTGGTTTTGTGTTTTGATTATCAAGATTTAGCCTGTAAGTTATTGTGTATGATTAACTTTTAATGACCTGTTTTTGAAATTGAAAATTTCTTTTTTGGTTTTCGTTGAGAACAATGTAGTTTAGTTTAATATGAATTTGGTGGTGATCTTAGATTTTCTTTGTGAAGATTCTGTTTGTCTTTCTTTGTATTCATTTAGAGGTATTTCTTTCCTTTTCATAGTGATGATATCAGAAAATGATTTATTCATGTGTTAAGTCAAAATATTTATGTAAAATATGAGCCTGTCTATCATGTCGTTATTACTGGCGATTGCTTTATCATTTTTGTAAGATGTTATCACTTTCATTAATCATTGAGCAGTATATGATGGTTTCTGTATAATATTGAAATGGAGTTTTAGTAGAATGTTAACTGAAGAAATTAATTCTAGTTCTGGTTTTGTGGCAGCTTGTATATAAAACCATACAGAGAACCTTGAATCATTTAGATTTTCAAGTGCCTAGAGTTGCAAGGTGCAGATTATTGAGTATCTCAAACAAGTCTTTTAAACAATTTGGAGAAGTGGACTGCCAAAAGTTGGAAAGTTCCTTACAGTAGACCTATGCATTCACACCTTCCAATTTGGTTGGAAGACTTAGATGGACCTTCCCTCTCCAGAACCAACTAGAAACATCCAAACTGATCAATACCCATTGCTGATGGAGCAATTGCATAGCCATAATGAGCAGGAGCATATAATTGATATAACAAGAAATGATGATGCTTCATCAAGCTCATCACACGATGAACAATCAAGCAGAATGGGCTTACATCAGCACGAAGAAAGATCATCAAGCAGCAGCACAGCCCCCACTTACCATAGTTCATCTACTTCCGCGAACAGATTAAACTCTAGGAATTCATCATTCATGAGAAGAGGCGATGGATATGGTCGCCGTGGTAGAAGCCCACTAAATTCAGGGCTATGGATTTCAGTTGAGTTAGTCGTCACTGTGAGTCAGATTATAGCATCAATTGTTGTATTGTCATTGTCAAGAAATGAAAATCCTCAAGCTCCATTGTTTGCATGGGTTGTTGGTTATGCATCTGGTTGTGTTGCAACACTTCCTATTCTTTACTGGCGTTTTCGTAATCGGAACCAGGGAATTGACCAAGATTCCCCACAATCACATCAAGGCTCTTCCCAAGGCAATCTTCCTGAACATACTGCACCATACACAGCTATTTCAGTTACTCAAGCTTCAGACGAGGAAAATAATCACGTCACAGAAACAGCAAACACTAACGGTCAAAGTGCAGTGCACTTCACTACACGGTATTTTTTTGGTGCACTATTTATAATATGTTCAAATTTCTGTCCCATGCATTGTTTGGCATAAGTAGATCTCCGATTCTTAAATTACATTTATTAGCAATTTTCTTGCGTTGTTCTGTTTCTCCTCATAGATTTACACTCAAGAAAAAAGAGAAATGAATACATTAAGTTACATTGAGTTTGTACTAATAATTATAAATTTGATAGCATTTTATCGTTATGTCATGAGAATTTATGCATTATCTATGCATTTGTATGTATGACTTGTCTTGTGTGAACTTTCAGTGGCATTTAAATTAGTTATCTGTTTAGAGTTTGTGAATATGTATAGAATGTCTTGTAACACTCTTATGAGTGTAGCTAGAAATGCTTTATTAATCTTATCCTCTGCCATAAGTACTATGAGAGAGCAATCAGAGTACATTTGTAGATGCAGAGGTGTCGCATCTCAAATTTTGTGGCATTGATGTTGGGTGGTTGTAGCAGCGAAACCATTATGGCACTGTGGACTCATTTTCTGAACTTATTATGTTTTGGGTGCTTTTATTGTTCAATGGGAATGAGATAGTCCTAATTGTAAAACCTTCTTTATCATTAACGTTGAGACCAGCAATCCATTAGAAGATAAGAACCTGCAATCCATTAGAAGATGAGAAAAAGTCAATCTTGGTTGTTCTTACTGATATCACTCTTTGGTCTCTGATTAAGATAGCGTATATTATAATGATTATAGCAATATGCTATAAATGGTATTCTCTCATTCTAAATCTCATTTCGTATTACTAACACGTAATACTACTCTCATAAACTAGTATCCTCAATTTCTGTATCTCAAATGTGGCAGTCAACTTGTTACTATCACTCAAATGATTGTGACAAATCAATTACCAAATCAGTTGAGATACTAGTTTGTAAGCGTCGTGTTGCCCATATTGCAATCACCGATCAAACATGACACATCTTAGACCTTTTCTTTGTTTATGTGAATATCTAGCTCATCTTTAACGCCTAAGTAAGACTAATATTAAATCTTTCATGCATTTTGGCTTTAGGTGTTTGTATCCTTTTAATTAATATCCCTCTTTTGTTATTATAGTCACTTGCTTCCGGTTGCATACTAGTTGTCACTCAAAAAAAAGGTATAAGAGAGAAGTTAAGGTGATTCTTTTTGATAAGTTAATAAGTTGGAAATAAATTTCAAATTTTTCTAGTGGGAAGGCTTGGTCCCTGAAAACATATATAAAAAGAATAAGATCAAAGTTATGACCCCTTTATACCATAGCTAGCGCCTAGCTGTATGGATGATGTGTTACAAATTTAAAGTTTTAATCTATAATATTTGTAACCACAACTCTCCTTATAGGTGGTGGTGAAATCAAGTTGCTAAAATTCTATGATTTATTAGATTTAGAAGTGAAATTGTTAGATGATAAATTCAATAAATTTTAAAAGGTTATTACATATACTGATTTTCAATTATGCTAAAAAGTAAAAACGACAACTCGTATTAACTGAATATCATTGTGATTAAAGAAACGTATCCACTAGATACTTATAAAATAACTAACATTATTTTTTAAAAGGAAAATGAACTAGCATATATGAGCCATGTGTTCTGTTCTTGTTTAATTTATTTCAATCTCATAAGTTAGCTAAGTAAATTGAAGTTGCTTCACTGAGTGAAGAAGATGCTTTCTGATTTGCAGACTCAATGGATTAGTGGACCATTTCAAGATGGCCTTAGATTGCTTCTTTGCAGTATGGTTTGTCGTTGGCAATGTATGGATTTTTGGAGGTCATTCTACGCCCTCTGATGCTCCCAAATTGTACAGGTACCTGTCATTGACTTGTATTCATTAAGGCTTCTTTTTTTTTTTTTTCTTCTCTTTTTCACCCGGGTATCCAACTTGGTTGCGTTTATCACTTGTTGCTTTGCATCCTTGTAGGTTATGTATAGTGTTCCTTACCTTTAGCTGTATTGGATATGCCATGCCATTCATATTATGTGCAACAATTTGTTGCTGCTTACCTTGCATAATTTCGGTCCTGGGCATCCGGGAAGATTTTTCTCAAACTAGAGGAGCCACAGTGGAATCCATTAATGCTTTGCCAACCTTCAAGTTCAAGTCAAAGACAAGTGGGAACGCTAATGATCAGGACAATGCAGGAGCAGGTGAAGGTGGGGTCTTAGCTGCAGGGACAGAAAAAGAGCGTGTGATATCTGGGGAAGATGCGGTAAGCTTAATAGAATGTTTTCTCACTGCTGAGTTAATGATCTTTATTATGACTGAGGAACCAGAATTAATTTTGGGCTCACATCCAGTTACCAGAATAACATCGATCAAGCTTAGCAAAACTATGCTTGTAGTTTATACAATTTACTAGAACCTGGGTGCATTCTGCTGAGTTTGCCTATCTTTTAAAAGTTAGTTGCTGAAGTTGCTTATAAGTTTACAGAACTTTACTTGCAACATCCTTTTCAATGGGCAATACTTCAGTCTAACCCTAGCCTTTATATGGTAAGAATAGAAGTGGTTATAAGTGCTACTGAATATGCCCATAAATTATAAAGTATTAGATGTAGAAGTCTTGCCCAGTACACATCTTTATTCGATTTGGATTTCTAATAAAGTGCCTTTGTTTTTCCTCAACCGTTTTGGTGCAGGTTTGTTGTATTTGTCTGGCGAAGTATGCAGACGATGACGAACTTAGGGAGCTATCATGTTTACATGTGTTCCATGTTGATTGTGTCGATAAATGGTTAAAAATCAATGCATCATGCCCTCTTTGTAAAAGCGAGGTCGGGGAGAGTGGTAGTAGTGGTTCACCATTAGCGCGGGACTCCAGTCAGCACTGAATGGAGAGAAGGGATGGTTCATAGGTTGAAGACCATGATATATATATGGAGCACTGTCTGTATTATTCTCAGCCTTTATTGACATTGCAAGCTTGGGGTAATTATTTCAAATGTAAGTCCTCAGTGGTTCAATTTTGTTCTGCAGAGTTTTACGCCAAGCACAAACTGGCTTTTGTATTGAATTATGAATTTATGATGTACAATTTAAAGCTATCCATGATTTGTAATGCTGAAATACAAAGAGTTCGACCATCTTCATTTTTGCAACCATTTTTACCCCAAATTTGATACAAAGCTTGTTGTGTGAGCTACAGCAAACAGCACTTAATTATTATAGGCAATATTGTTTTCTGGATTCACAAAATTTTCAGAATTGGAAGTTTGCAACCATATAATGCACATTGTTACTAGAATGAAAAAGCAAAAGGCAGAAACTAGGGCAGTACAAAAAAATAAAATTACAAGCAACACCAAAACTGATTATTGTGGCTTGACATGAATTCATTCGCAAAATTTTTCACAATGTAATGTTTATACATGATAAACGGTTAATGAAATGGGAAAAGTACAACATGCTCTGAAAATCAGATCTACCAGCTTTTGTTCTAATTTGACCCATTGTTGGGCCCGAAAAGAGAGAAAAAAAAATCTATAATGCTTCCCCGTAGCCCTAAAACACAGAATAAGCTTAAGTATTGGTGCAAAACCATGGAGCCATCGTTTCTCTAGGATCTATAGGATCTCACCAAATAGTGAGTAAATAAAGATATCAAACCTAAAACACAATAAAAAGAAATTATACACATTTGCGAAGGAATGCAATTCACTATCAGGCCAAGTAGAAAAACGAAAATTTAATCCTAGTGCAATAGGTAGAAAGGATTGGTGACTCAAACAAGACCTCAGAATGATCCTCCAATAGCAGCAGACTGTTCTCCTCTGGGTATATCTTTGAGCTGCACCTTAGTTATATATGATTAACCACTCAACATATGCTGGAATTGCAGGTATGTCAGATTCTAAATGCATTCAACATTATGTTCCAATTGTCAGGTCCTTGAATGCCTCGAGTTTTCCATTTGATGCAATGGCATCTGCACTTTGATTAACTCCATTATGGATTGCACCACCATTTTCAGGGTTTACTAATGTTTCATTGTGCGCTATGGTGGACTTGCCAGCACAGTTGCCTTCAAAAAAGGTTGAATATGGGAAATACTCAGCACAACGCACTTTCCATCCTGCAACAGAAAAAAAAAAAAGGTTTTTAAGTACCAAAGATGATTAGTATTTCTTGTATCCAAGTTACCATTATAGCATATGAATACTCAGCTTAAGAAATTTCTTCATATGGCATATATGCTTCTCAAATATTTATCAAATAACTTAACTGGGAGATTGAAATACAGGAAACATAGCAATAGATAACAGTCGAGTAAGACAAATTGCAAAATTTCCTAACTAGACTCAAGTATTTCTAACATTGGAAATAATAGTTCACCGATCCAAGTTTGAACTGGTTCAATCTTCTATAAAGAGAAAACAGAATAGAATTGGATGAGAATGCAGATGGAGGGAAAACAAAGAGTAATATAACAAGCACGAAAAATGTTTCAATGCTGCAAACGAGCCATGCCCTGAGACTTAAATTTCAGAAAAAGGCTTGACATTAATATGTCCTTTACCAGCTCAGAAAAAGCAACATTATGACTCAATCAATTTCATGATTTAATTCAAGGACAGTTGAATTATATTGGTGTTAATTCAATGATCATTTGGGCTCTAAAACAGAATTGATAACATTGATCGTAATGGATCAGAGGAAATGAAATTTAACTGTAAAGTAAATGGAAATAAAATTTATTAAAGTTGACAGTTAATCGGCAAAGAGTATCTAACTAGATAGGAATTTCTAACATTAGAGTGTGAAGCAAAAGGAGGAAACATGTAGGTACGCAAATACAATAAATTAAAAAGGCCAAAAGCCAGAAACATGCCCATAAGACTGCTCAATGTTCAATGGTAATTAGTGCTTCAGACAGCAAGAAAACACAAAAATACATTAAAATAACACATCTTAAGAACCAGTAAAAATAATAATCACAACCATGCATGGCAAATTTTTTTCTTTTTTAAATGTTTTAACTAGATGTTTCTTATATAGTATAAACAATCCGATACTTACTCAATGCAGCATCTTGGTCTGCAAGAACATTTTTAAGGAGATTGTGGACTGCAATGCAGTCTTTGAGTTTCCATTCCTTGACTGGTCCAAGTGCTCCATTACTAGAATAACAAAAGACAGGGTTCAACAATCAACTCTGATAAAGATATGCAAAGAAGAGATATAAAAGAAAAGACTATGTTACGTATTAGAAAGCATTACGTTGGAACCAAGTTGTTGGTTGTATCTTCAATTAATTTAATAGCTTCAGATTTTTTGCTAGGTTCAAGTACATATAGCATTTCTGCAGCTGCAACTCTATGCATCAACGAATCTGCAAACAATATTAACAAGGTCACCATGGCAATGCTACACAAGTAGGTAGAGAATAATTGTTTTTGTATATTACATAAGGTGGACAGTACCTTCATGTTTATGAAGGAAAAACTTGTTCGCCTCAATCAGAGATTTGTCCTGCAATTGACTACAGAAGAAAGGAAAAAAGAAAATTACCATGGATCAAATAATAAGATACACCATTTATCCTCGATAACACCCACATCACCAAAGAAAAATCAAAGAGAACCTGATAGCCGGCCGCTCTGCTTCTAGGACACTCCAAATGAGTTTCTCAGCATCAGTCACAGGAGCACTCATCAAGTCTACTGTATGGAAGAATCTAATCTACATACACATACATTAAGTTTGAATCATCACAGATAAAATAAAGAGATCTTGGTACTCTGATGGTATTGAATGATGCATTAAGTAAAATTATATCTATTCTATAAACAGCACAATCTAATGGAGTTGGTAGATTTATCTCAGAGCAGTTTTATATACCAACATAAAAAGCTGCAAGTTAGTTAAGTTATTCAATATATATAATACATACCAAGCAGCAATGTGATTCGGGATTCTCAGCATCCAACCTTAACAATTGCTTTACAGCCTACAGAAAAAGAAGAGTACAAACAAGGAAAGCATGACAAAGTAATTTAAGTGCAACCATTGAGAAACATAAATTCAAAAACATCATTTAACTAGAAGGTATGAGGCTAACAGATCCCAATTGATATGTCAACCTTATCAATATACAAAATGAACAAGGTAATGTTCCACTATAAATAAATTGTAGAGGGAACAGGGGGCCAAGAGATATGTGTATGTATGAAGGGTTTAGGAGGAGCTATTATACCTTACTAGTACTTCCTATAACTTGTTTATATGCTAATTATACAAATATTTTAACTGGCAGAACAAAAAAGATATCACAGTAACATAAATAGAAAGACTGAGGGATTTCTAGGTATGAAAAAAAGAAAGAAAGAAAAATAATAAGTGCAAGCCAGAAAATACCTGAAAGGCAAGCAGAATCTTCTGCTTTCTTATATTTACTTCAAAAGAAAGCAAGTGTGTTTCCAAAGAATCAGGCGAGTTCTTCAGAAGCAATTTCAAGTATTTTGTAGCTTCCAACAATGGATCTTCAACCTACATAAATGAATTCACAAGAGCCAGCTGTTATATATCTAAATAAGGTTATACAATTTTTTGCAGTTATATTAATAAGTCTTAAATAACCTGCAACAGCTTCTCTCCGTGTGGATCTGGATCAACAGGTTTCACATGTCGTTTGCCAGACTTGGAGACACCACTAGAACTAGATTCTTCATTTTTTATCTCTGCCTCCTGAAAAAGGCAAAGCATTACAAATGAATTTCATTGAAATAATGAGTAAACAGAAGAAGCAAGAGAAACTTACTTTTTTAGCTCGGGCTTCAGCCTTACGCTGTTTTTGCTTCAGTTTCTTTTTCTGAGAAGGAAGCAAGTTCGCCTTATCATCATCTTCTTCATTGGTTGACTTCGGAGGAGAATCATACAATTTTATATAGCATCTGCACTTCAAAATTAAACCAACATAAATACAATGACAGGACAAAAATTCTTCAAAGGGTTCATTGATCCAAGAAAATCTGGACTTTTAAATGTATGAAAGGACAATAGTACAACAGCAAAATTTGAGATGATTATGAAAACTTATGTAGGCCGCCAACCAACACAGCTTAAATGACTAGAAATTTCAGTGAAATTTGGACAACAACGCATATGTGAGGATATTTTGTTACCAAACTAAATTTAGCTAATCTTCTTTAACCAGATACCCAAAACTGGATCTTGAAAAAGAAGGATCACAACATTATAAGAGACGCCAAGCCAGATAAAAAGAAAAAGACAAAAAGAAACCAAGTCACCTCTAACTATGCCAAAACCAAGAACAAGATATTTATACACCATGACATAACACACATCTTCATCTTACAACACCAGCCAGTTACCTTCAGGAGATGACTGGTATGAAGAGCAGAGGCTAACTGAGGCATTTTTTGCAACCTATTGAAATCAAAGACTAAGACTAGACCATAAACCTTCACATAAGAAGGTGTGAGTTTTAGAGTGCATACGCATCCACAGGCCTAGGTGAAAAGCATAACAAGTCACCACAAATCATCAAAATCTTGTTTACAGCCCTAATAGTTCACCTGATAGCTCCGACTGCAGCTTTGTGAAAATAAGCATGTGAATGCAACCGATCTTGAAATTTGAGCATCTCCACATAGGCACGTAGAGTCATTTTCCTTAAGCAATAAGAATGGAAGTCAAATTGATCTTCAGTAATATCAGCGTAGTGCTTCTCCACAGCTAAAAATTTCTTCAAAGACCGCCCAAGATCACATTGGCGGAAGTAGCTTTCACCAGAAGCAAGTTCATACCTTACATAATTAGAATATTTTAACGGCAATTAGAAAAATTAACCATATTGTTCACTTAACACAATAACCAGAGTCATGCAGTAAGTAGACAGACCACATGCACTGCATGTCATGAAGGTTGTTGTGTTGATCTCCATCTTTTGTGAATAATACAGCAGTTTTTTCTGCCAAAGCCACCTTCAGAACAGACATTTATGTAAAGCATGGTCAACAGAGGAAAAATACTAGCAGAAAGCACTAAAATTCAATGATTATAAGAAATTTCTACGTTGATAAAAGAAGATGAAATTAGAGCAAACCTGATCAGCTTGTAGCATACGCTTTACACATTCACTATTTACATATCTATCTGCAAGATCCATACACCTAGCTTCATCTGCCAATGCAGCAGCCGCAGCCAAATCACCCGCATGCTTCAATATCCGACTCTAAACAAAAAGAAAAAAGGTAATTGCTATATTAGACTCAATCAAAATTAAGGACATTCCAGCAATTTCTACTTGGTTATTGACTTGTGTCTTCTTGAGCCATTCACATTTACATAACCATGCTTGAATATATTGATAACCTCATCACATCAAAATAATTACTAGGATAAACTCTTCGGCAAGTTATGAAAACAACGAAAGTACTCAAAAAAAGCAACTATAAATCAACAGAAGAGATAAAAATGAAAGAGAGCCTTCAAGGCTAGCAATAAATAAATAAATATCAAAGACCAATTGGTACAAACCTTGACCGAGTACAAATCAATCACAGTAGGAGTGTGTTCTATAGCCTCATCTATTTTTGACAGAGCAACATCATATTGGCCTCGCCTGTCATAATGCTGCATCATCATAAAAGCTAAATGTAAATTCAGAGGAAAACTCCACACAAAGACAAAGATTAAATACACTATGGTCAACCTGAGCTAAGAAGAACAAAGTCCACATAAGTGTTGAAGGGGGCTCTTTTTCTTCCCTGCACTTGAAATAAAATTGTTAGTCAGAAGGTTTTACATCAAATATGCGATAAAAATTCAGAGGCTTTTCTCCCATTTTACAGATGAGTCATTTCTACTACAGATGATTCTGTCAGCACTCACTACAATCAACACAACAGCCTCAAATATATATTACCTCCCAGGGCATCTCCCAGTTGTCCTAATTGAATGCTCCAACTCAAGAATAAGATGCTCAAGAATGTCTGCCTGTGTAAGAGTCATCAAAGCAGGAAACACAATCAGATAATTTTTCTAACCAAACAACCCAAGTTTTACAACTTCTGATGAAGTTTCAAATTAACACTTAAATTGAAAAACTAGGGGAAAAATCATCACACTAACCTTGCCAGGTTGACCGTATAAAGGAGAAAGATCAGAGAACAATGAAGGAACTCCCTAACATCACAAAATGATAACTGATTATTTTATCCTGGAAACTAGGAGACCAAACAAAACTGCACAAAATATAACCATGAATACCTTGGTTAGGAGGGGCCTAATATAATTGAATGCAGCTTCCCTAAACTTGTCACCTTGTAGAAAATCAAGCGGAATTCTCTGTAATGAAAACACAAATGAAAATGACAATGTGACACAAGAAAAAATCATCATATTTTATAAATAAGCTAGCTTGTAATGATAATGATGATGGCAATGAAAATGCTGACAATGCCAAAACACTAAGACCAATGAAACAAGAAACAATAGCATGCATCTTCATTGACTAAATGTTTTATCTTCTCTTAACACTACAATATCCCATGCAAGTTCATGATCAGACTCAACTTTCTAAAATTTTCTGAGTATTATATTTGGAAAATATGCTTTAGTTAAAAGAAAAGGAAGACGTGGTTCAACAGATCTATAGAACTTGCAGCAGTAGCACTACTGTTACATGTAGGACAAACAAAGCCAGTAGTGAAAGCACAGACCACAAACAAAGTAATAATAAATATATCAATAAAGCAAAATATATTTTCCTTTAAGTCTCAAAGATTGTATAACCATAGAGAAGTCAAATTATTAACTGTCCATTTGAAACTGCTAGAAACATTACAACCTAATAACTTCATCCCTCTGCTTCAAATGAAATTCAATAATGCAATTAATAACCTCTTTTTAATATCCACTTACATGCATGGTTATCAGATACACATGGAGAGACACATTATGGTACTTGTATGCTTCTACACAACAATATTTTAAATCCTCTAATCCTTTAATTTACTAAGAGGGTGATCGCAACTTAGCTAATGAATAAAAATCATATATGAGCAAAGTAGAGGTCTACTTGAGAGCAAGTCTTATTATGTGGCATAAGCAAAACGTACCCCAATGTATAGTAATCTATCCACACAAACTAACTTCTAACAAAACCATAAAATCATAAGGCATGTCTCCCTTATGAGCTAACAAACGAAAATAATCAGACACACACCATCAAACATACACTTCCCATTCTAGATAGCAGCTCAAATGTAGTAATAATCACAAAGAAGTACTTTCAGCCCAATCAACAAGCTTTACAATATACCAAACTAACATTAAATTTGAACTGCAAAGAAAAGGGAAGAAATAGTCATTCTCCCAAGAAACATGAACCAAGGGGTAGTGTCACCTTCACAGCAGATGACCAAGTGTATTGCTGCCCAAGGGATTCGTATAAGGAATCTAATTGGTCAATTTCATCAGAAGAATAGTTTCCATTTTCAGAATACAGCCCAACACATTTTTGCAGGCCTTCATAATATCTGGAAAAGATAATAACTTGCTCACTTGTTAAAATTGGAAGTACAAGCCAAGATATTAAACATACATGCTCTTTGTAATTACTTTGCACACTCTCCTAAATCAGTGTTTCTTTAAGTTAAAAATGGAGAGTAATGTTGTAAGCCATACTTATAATTGTCGGGATTCATGGAGAGTAACACCCTGTACAACTTAGCAGCTTCTTCTAGGAGACCAAGCTTCACTAAAAGAGAAACCTCTTGCTCTTTGTAAGCCAATTTGTCAACCTATATGCCACGAACACAAATGGTCAACATCTCAATATCCCTATGTTCAGAACTTAAAATTTTCAAAAAATAAACATGTAAGTAAGAACACGCACGTACAATTTTTAACTCTTTCTTGTGCAACTCCTCAAGAGCTCTCTTAAGGGAGCCACACTCTTCTAACAAAGATATCTGCAGAAGAATATCATTCGCATATGACCATCAAAAAATTTTGACAGCACCACAGATATGAATATGAAAACTCAAGACTTTTTAACATTATATAGTCCAAGAATACAATTAAGGACTTTTTTTTTATTTTAGAAATAACTGTAAAATTCAGACACAACTACCTATAAGGGCAGTGCTTTTATCTTAGCCATACATCTATAACAGAGAAAATCCTCGTAAAAAAGGCCAACATCATGCAGTGAAGCAAAAAAAGGTAGCTGGACTCACAAAAAATATATATACACATGTTTCTTGATACCTTGTACAACAGCATTTCACCATGCTCACAACGTTCGTTATCAGGAGGATAATCGTCTTCAAGAGTCCCCTCATACGCTTCTAGAATTTCAACTGCTTTGGAACCACTAGGTAAACAACCAAAGGATAGTTGTTATTTAAGAGCATAAAGTAAAAGGTAACATGATTAGTGTAGACATGCCAAAGAAAGAATCAGAGGTAAATGCAGCACGGTACACTAATTAAGAAATCATTTAAACAGAGATCGGTGAATAATGCTATAAGGTAAAAAAATCTTGGAGATATGTAGAATTGTAGCATCTACAAAGAGGAAACAATGAAATAATAATACATAATATCAATTAATACTATGAGAGACCCCCAAGGCATTTTTGCATCAACAATCACCACAAAAGGTAAATTATGCAAAACAATCGTTCATAAGCTAGCACCAATAATGGAAGTTCTTTGATATCCTGTGCTGAACTAATACACTATTGAAAAAAATAAATACACGGATAGATATTGATTTTCTCAGTATTCCAATCTCTGAATTGAAAAGATATATATTTCATATTAAAATATAAGGATTGGTATATAACATTATGTTTTTATCGTATTCTAATGTCAATACCTCTTTAGGGGTAATACAATGGTTTCTAACAGGTGATGCAAGTCACAACATACCAACCATATATCAACCAAACAAATTGTTTTACCATCAATGTAGCAACTACCAAATCACCAATATATGCATAAATTACATAGAGAAGTAGTAGCACAAAAAAAATTCAAAAACAAGGATCAAATCATACTTGGAGTTTAAATGATGGGCAACTGCAAACCCAATCCAGTTCATGCGATGATTTGGTTTCAAAGTCAGAAGTTGTTGTCTAGTCTCAACAAATCCTGCCAGATCCCGCATCTGTGCCTGCATTGTGAAAGTTAAATTCTTTCATCAGCCAAAAATAATTTTAAGAAAAAAATACATTTTAAACATAGAAGGAAAACTAGGAAAAGTACAGGACATTACAAAGGATATTAGACTTAAGACGTTCGTCTCATAATAGAGTCAATTTGCTAAGTTTGACCAACACATTTGAGGAAACAAAACCCATGTTGCTACTCTAATTGCGAAACATCGACATAACTCATAAGACATCAACATAGAAGCATGAGAAGATTTAATACAGCAAAAAACTCATACCTGCAACAGGGACAGGTCCCGCAGTATTTCAATATTGTCTGGATCTATTCTCAATGCATTCCTATAGCATTTGATTGCCTCTCTATATTCTCTGTCAGACCGATACAAGAGACCATAGACATGCCAGCAAACATGACTCTTGATGTCATTCTGCATTAAGACACATATTAAGGTCAATACATTGAAAGGCAATGATTTTGAAAAAAGCAAGAATGTTTAATGTTACAATAGACAAAGAACACAACCTTCACTCCCACACGGACAAGCTCATATGCTTCAGACTTGCGGTCCATGCAATTCAATGTCAACCCCTTCATGGATAGCGTTTCTGACAACCAGAAGAGCAGACAGATTTATAAGAAGACATATAAATTAAGAAAATAAATCGACTATATAGCATCAGCCGCCTTTTTCTCGCATTATATGACTCTCAAATAAATTCAAATACTCAACAAAATACCTCCATGATCTGGAAACTTTTTCAGTATAGCATCGGCTGCCTTCAATCCCTTCTTATATTGTTTAGTTTCATATGATTTCTGGATGCAAAAAGTATGACTCAGTTAAAAAATAGTACATTACCCCTCAAGATGGAAACAGGTACAAAGATAAATGTATAAATCACACACAAAAACAGTTAGACACTATAGAAATACCATAGCTAAAGTAAGACTGCCAAAGGCTTAATAAACATAAAAAATTTGCTTTCCATATCGCATGAAATCAATACAGGACAATGATAAAACTTTGATGTCCACTAACAATACGTAAACCTAACAAGACACCACATAAATTTAAACTGCAAAAAGTTAGCAAAAGAAAACAGTCAATTCGGACAAAAAATGGCACACAAAGAATGCTGCTCTTAACTGAATTCCAAAAGCAACCTAAAAGAATTAGAATTTGCATTTTGAGTTCTAAGCTCACTTTGTATGGTAAAATTCAAAGGTACAAATTTTGCACCATAATAGAACCCCAAGCTTATACCATCATACATAGTATATAATGCGACGGTTTTTCATCTATATTTAGATTACATAAAATATGCATATAAACCAAACCATTCTGAATCATTTTCCTTAAGTCACCTCAATCCTTATCAATCAACAAAAATGAAGCCAAGCAAATGAAAAATAAAAAAGAAAAGGAAGAACACACCACAGCTTAACATTAACTCATAAAAAATATTCAACAGCTGAATATCCAAAAAACCAAAAATCCAAGCTTTCTCTCACTAGAGTGAAACTAAATTCAGAAAAAACAAAGAGACCCAATACACTAAATCAAACTATGAGCTAAGTTGTCAATTCGATTAAACAAAAGAAAACTAACCCATTAATCCATTCACCCTAAAACATCCAACCCAATAAACAGACAAACACTCCCGATTCTCCAACAACTCATCAAAGAATTAGGGTTTTACATTACAAAAACGACCGAAAATCAAACTAAACAAAAACAACCATACAAACGAAAATATTATAACCAGATATGAATAAAGAGAAAAAAAAATAGATAGTGAAGTGGAGTGGAGAGGCGTACGACGATGAGTTTAAAGAGGTTAGCCTCTTTGGGAGGGAGAGAGGCGCCCATTGCGAGGGAGATGAAGCTTTGAAAGAGAGAGAGAGTTTGGTTAGACCGGCTTGGTTTAGTGTTGTGAGAGAGAGAGAGACTGGTGAGAGCAGTGAAGTGGTGGCGTTTATCTGCTGCAACCCTACTGTGAACAATAAGCTGAAGAAAGAAAGAGAGAGAAAGAGAGATGAAGAAGTAAGGTTGAAAATGGGTTAAAAGGCCCCTTGATTGTGTTAATATTCACAGTTTGACACTGTTATGCTTACTTTTCTTTTCTTTTTCTTTTTCTTTTTTTTTTAATTTATTTTTAGTCAAAAAAATTTATATAAATAATTATTAAAAGACGTTTTTGATTTTTTGTGAATTTTATTCAAGAACAAATATATTTATAATGTTTAATAAAAATGTATTTTAGTATTTGATAAATGTATTATGTTTTGGGCAGATTATTATGTATATATGATTTTTGGTGGATAAATGAAATGAGTTCATTGTCTATTTATTGTATTGTTGAGACTGGAAGAAATATTTTTACCCTATCTTATTCAACTATTTTAAATCTCTAAATTTGTTAATTTAATTAAACACTCTCAACAAAAAAAAAAAAATTTATAATTTAACAAAAACATCTTAATCCACCCATTTATTCTCAACAATGGATGGCCGACCGTCCGACATTTAAGGGGTGGAGAATGTTTAACTAAATTAACAAATATAAGAAATTAAAAAATAATTTTATCTAACACATTTTCAAATTCAAATCATATAATAATAACTCAATTCAACTTTTTCAAAAATACTTCTTAAAATAATAAAACAAACACACCCTTCAAAATTTGGGATTTTGATTATTTTTCTATTAACTTTGGATTTATTTTTATTATAATGAACAATGATAAAAATTCATATTTTGTAAGTTAAAAGTTTAGATGGATGGAAATTGTGTATAATGAACCACCATTGAGTAGTCCAACGATCAACTAAGATTCTTAAGTGTATTACTCAAGAAATTTTGAGTTTGACTCACCTGAATTGCTAAAATGGGTGACCATTGAACCAGATTTACCCCATTGTCAACTTTAAAGCCTTGAGAGATTAATTGAGGCAATCGAAAACTGATCCGAACACCCGTCACCCCAAAAGAAAAAAAAATAAAAAAAATTGTGTATAATGTATAGATAAAGTTAAAAAGACTATCCCTTTTTATATATTTATATTTAGTTAATGGGTTTAAATTAAAACATTTACATCTCCCTCTCTAAATATTACTACAAAAAAAAAAAAAAAAAAAAAAAAAAAAAACCTCAAATATTTTTTATGTAAATGGCAATACCCTCGCGATGAAAGGAGTTTCGCCAATTAATTAATTATTTAGCAAACAAAACATGATAAAAAGTTCAAGTAAAACTTATGAAATTAGAAATTAAGTAAAAGAACACAAAACTCAAAAGAGAAGCAAGATACAAACTTTAAAGACTTGAAAGACCAAAAACAGACAAACGAAATATCTTCAAAGATTCTAATCAATTATATCATAGATCATAATAAACCAAAATTTCATCCACTTTGAATATTCTCTTATCTTAAACGAAGAGTGACATTCAACATCATACATCAAATGGATCATATGTGACAATATACAATCTTATTCATTAACATATAACATTTTATCAACAATATTCATTACCTGGTTGTTATTATAATAAATAATTATTGATTCAAGGGGAAAGAAATGCCCAAAATGTTTTAACTTACTTCAAGAGTTCATCTCCGGAATGTTCAAAATATGACTAAACTGACCACTTCTGGAGATTGTTAAATGGTCAGATGTAAAATTGACAAAGCGATCGGTCGTTTTTCATATTTCTAAATGTTTTAGGACCTTTTTTTTTTTTTTTTTCTGTTAAAAACATTCACCTGCAGTGAAGTAACACCAGTATCACAAGCCTTCTTCAAACTTGTATACACAAAAATTTGGTCTGCCCTTACCGCTATCTTAGGAAGTCACATTTTTGTAAGCAAGTTCTATTTCTTCTTCTGTCATTTCAATGGTTTCATCGCTGTCATACCCAGCTGCATCACTTCGAGTTGCTGTCGATCTGCCATTGTTGCTCCTTTCACTTTCACTTTCATTTGTCTTTTGCTTTTGCTTCTTTGACACAGAGTCACTGTCTAACCTCTGTAGTTCCTCCTCGTATATTTGTTTCCAGGCCTTCGCCTGACTACAAAGATCTCCATTTGAAAGTGCAGCTGAACCCTTGCCCTCCAGCTTAGCAAGCTCCTGGACCACACGAGGGATGCATTGCCACTGCTCCATTATATGCTGCACACCCTGAGTATCAGACAAAAGTTAAATTAAATTGCCAAAAAACCATAATTTGTAAAAAATTTAGCCAATTAAGTGTATGACTATATCTGAAGTGGCAACTATAAAAAGATTGTTGGCAGTAAAGAGGTGTGAGGATTTTAACTTCTGACAAGTTTCTAACTTGAGAGAATCTATACGAAATTCTTTAGTTAACAGATGCATTATAAGATGGTGTTACTGAGCTTAGTAAATCACCACGTTGCATTGGAATGTATGTCAAAATGACTCAATATGACTAACTTGCCAGCTAGACCAACTCAGTAAAATCGGCAGGATAAAAGAGTTTTCATGATTCCATAGTATAACAACTTATTTGGCAGCAAAATCCAAGGAGGGCATGTACAAGAGTCCTATGCTGAATTGGTAGCAAGACAATTAGAGCAACGATCTCATCACTTGTTCAAAACTCTTTATGTCTCATGGGACTATAATACACTACTAAACCATGAGAAGTTTAGAGCACCATGAGATTTAAAGGTGCTTCAAAATCAATGTAACTTGAGTTAGAACAGTTATCTAATCAGAAGTCCAGTGTAGTACTTTTGAATCACAGTCAAAAGGAGGATGTGGAACACTGAATGCATTTTCTCCAGTTCTCAAATGAAAAAAAGAAAAAAATCAGAAGTGACAATCAATAAACTTGAAGTCTGCTGGGTAAATATCTATGTCCATGGATAGTGTTCCAAGTACTTTCCTCAGAGAGAGGTATATGTTATGCAGAACATCGTGCACATTCTTTAACAGGAAAAATGCATCATCAGAAAACTCAATACCTGCTTCTGTTCAATAGAATCTATAGCATCTTGCATACAAATTAAGATCCCTTCAGCAGCGATTTGTTTTATTTCACTTTCCTCTGGCTGCAAAAAAGGGAAGACTTATATCAGGTTCACTTTAACATGGTGCAACTCTTGTACCCAATTAAGAAGGCAATACAAGTAGTGGGATTTCACGCCTTTCTAAACTTCATACATATAATTAAAGGAAAATAATATTTTCCAAATCCTAAAATATGTTACTGGTAATGACTCAAAAGTTTAAATGCTTGATTCAGCAACTCAAGTTCATTTTCTTCTTTTATTTCTTTTTACAGAACAATACCATGTATAGCATGCATGGTAGGGTCATAAAATATAGTGAAGTATTAAAAAGTTAAAATGAAAAAGGGATGAAGAAGACTTCACTGACAGAAAGTAATTAAATAAATGAAACTTCAAGAAACTTGGACAATCACAAAGTTAAGAAGTTGTGTTGTAATGTGGTAGGAACCCACTCCAATAACTCAACAATTTGGGCTGGGCCATGAGTCTTTCATGGGCTTGGGTAGAACTCTACTTGGAAAACCGGCTTGCCAAGGGAGGGTGCCCAAGCCTTATAACCCACATGCTCACCCTTTTTCCTTCCAATGTGGGATCCTAACATTCCACTATTCTTCTGGAACCGACGTCCAAGTCGGCCTCTTTACCCCTTGGGTGACTATGCGGATCCCCTTTCTCTCGGGCCTCCATTCCCTTTCTCGGGGTAGCAGCCCAGGCCCAAGGTCAACCTGCCACAGGTCAGCCAACCACGCGTGCGCTGCCACATAAGCGTAGGATCATGCTCTGATACCAATTGATAGGAACCCACTCTAATAACTCAACAATTTGGGCTGGGCCATGGGTCTTTTATAAGCTTGGGTAGAACTCTCCTTGGAAAACCGGCTTGCCAAAGGAGGGTGCCCAAGCCTTTATAACCCACATGCCCACCCTTTTCCCTTTCAATGTGGAATCCTAACATAATGTCATGGGAAATGTTACTATAGAAAATCAACAAATCATAATTTAGTGATTGGATAAATTTCTTAGAAAACAAACACCAAGTGACAATCACCTTTTCCTCTTGACTCTCTAGCCATAAGATGGTTTTGTTTAAATCATCAGCAGCCCACCTTTTCAGTTCAGAAGGAGAAAATCTCTCTTTGCCAGGATTAGATGTCTTATTCTGCTAAACATATGGCAGAAGAAACAGATGAACATTGGTAAATAAAGAAGATAATGCAAATGGATTGTTAACATACAACCTTATCTATATACCATTTTAGTTTCTGAAACTAATGTGTAAGGATAACAGCATTACATTAAAATGAGGAAAGAGATAGATATAATCATACAAACATGTAAAAATCAAATAATACCTTGGAGGATGAAGAGGTGGTTGGCATTAATTTTGATCCTTTTTCAACCTTCTGAGATTTTTTAGATGGGTTTTCTTCTGCATGCCCAAACCAAAAACAAAAAGTGAAAAGAACAAATAGTAATTAGACTTCAACACTGGTCTTTAGCATCTGGGTTCAATCAGGAGATAAAAAGGACCTGGATGCGTATGCAAAGTATATAAATGTACAAGTTCAAGTGACAACTTGTGAAGATTCGGGAGTCAGAAGAGTTAATTGCTCATATACATTATCTGCAATTGCTAAACAGCAGATTTGCAAGAGGAAGGAGAGAACATTTATAATCCCAGATAAACAGGATCCTTGTCTACCTGAAGAGAATGATACAAGGATTCTCTTCATAAAGCTCCATCGTCATAAAAGGCTTTCCAAAACTCATTCAATTACTTCATACATCCAAAAAGGTTCATTATGCAAGAAACTTTCATTGTCTATTTATATGAAAGAGATGCCCTAAACAAGGGAGAAAAAGCATGCATCAACAAGGTAATCGAAACTCTTCAGACAAGATTTTATGCACCAAAGATGAATGTACGCACATGTATTACCTTCGCCAGTTTTATGAGATATATTGCCTTTCCGCCATGGTTTCCCAGTATGCATAAGGAACTTTTCAATATCAACGAGCTTCTTCTGGTTATAACATTCTATTATCCATTCCTAAGGAAACAAAAATAGAATTTACCAAAAAAAAAACCAGATGTCATCAGATGATTATAAGGTAATAACTTAACAATCAAGACTCATCACAGCAATGAGGAAATAAAGTTGGGCATCGTATAGAGAAGGTGAAAAGCTAGTCCTGTCATCTAGACTAGATTTAGCTTGACAGATTTGCTAGATGACAACTTGAGAACTTTCTGTTAAAAAGCAAAAGGTGATTATTTCATTCTTTGTGAAAACAAGGAATATTTCATTTCAAATTAAGACGTACATTTTCGGGATTTTTGAATGAGTGAATGGGGAACCTAGTTAAGGGCTCATTATCAATATCAATACAATTTATCTTGGATTAGATAGCCTAGATCAGTACCACAAAAATGGCAAACCAGAGCCAATCAACACTGTCTAACTCAAATAAAGCTTTCAACAAGCATTCTGCATGACATCTGCTGGAGAAAGGTGTATGAAACCTCTGTAATAACTAGCACATAAAAGGAGTGAGCATGAAATATAACGCATAGCAAAAGAACAAATCTAATCATGCAAAGTAAGAGTTACAGTTCTCAATTTTTCCTCAAATTAGAACCACAAGTGAGGAGGTCCTATATGAATGCTAATAAAGCAAATGGCAGTAACTGAGCCAGAAAAGAGTATTCATAAATCTTGCTTCAATTTTAAGAAATTTAAATTAAAAAAAAAAAAAATTGTCTTTGCTTGTAAAAAATTTCAAGCCATTTACATGCAAATCCTACTTTATATAGAGGGATTACTAAACAAATAAAGCACACACCTTCGAAATAATTGTACCACAATCTGCCTCAACTTGCCGGAACTTTGGAGTATTTGGAAAAGCACAAACCAAGAGCGTGCAATCTGAGTTCCAGTCAGCTTGATAAGCTGCTCCCATCTCAATGGCCTGTGACCTCAACATACTTCTCTCTGGATTAACAAACCCTGACAATACAAAAACAACTCCTTCCTGCCCAAATAAAGATTATAACATCAGCTGTAATGTCAAAACCGAACTCTAAAATACACCAAATTCACAGACCCAATAAAATTAAGCACCAGAAGTTTGGAGAAGTTTGCAGTACTCGAACTAGAAGCAGCAGATTTTTTGCTGTGTTCAGTTTTATTAGAGGGACTACCTCCACCGACTGCTTTATCGTGCCCTTTAGCTTGTTTGGTTTCTTCAGTTTTTTCTTTCTCGTCATCATTAGCAGCATCTGTTGACTTCTTTCCATGAGATTTGCTCCCGTGTTCACTTGAACTCATCCATGAAGGAAGATTTCGCTTCTGATTCTTATTAGCCCCTTTTCTCAACTTTGCACTTGATTCAGACATGTCAAAAAAACTTTTACCTAAAAGTACACCAAAGACAGATATTAGACAATACGCTACTTAGCAGAGATTGCTATCCTGATTTAACATAAACATGAAGTTCCAAAACTCAAAAGATACTCATCATTGTGAATTTTGTGATGCTATTAGAGTACATAAATCAAAAGATGCAAAGCTGCAATCCTAAATGTCCTCAAACAGCAATATATAGAGAAAAAATAAAGAAAAGAAATCAATTCAGCCATATTATAAGCAATTGTAGGAATGAAATTCAATACATGAAAGATCTTAACTTGCGGAAATTCACTTATTCGAGCAAAATGAATTTTCGTTGTGCTGTCTTTGGCAGAATTGAATTGGACTGTAGAACTAAAATTAAATGGAATTACTATGTAATTCCACTCAATTTCAACTCAAAAATTCAGGACAGGTAAAATTAAAGTTTAATGTTTACTAACATTAAAAATACAATAAACTCTCTCCCTCTATTTACAACGCTACGAAGAAACTATTCATCAACTAAATTTCAAAAAACTCAAAAGCATCCACTTTGTCAGCACAAATGCATGTTTCCTGGCAGCACTTTCGTTGCTTCCAAAAACAGAAAAGAATAAAAAACTACTTCCAGTTCACTCACCAGACAACGCCTTTACACAATCACCGCCATTTTCACTTCCAATTGTAAATCATACAACACAATATAATTAACAACATTAATTAAATAATCTGACTAAAGATGCAGCAAATATATTTCATCTCACTCAGCGACAAAATTTACTACTAAAATTTTTGAATTAAAAAATAAAATAAGTTACCTTTGTCTTCTCCAGAGACTCAACTTTATGGTTCTGTTTCTCACTTCGCTTAGCTCTGACCTTTACGATTAACAGAAGTTGCCAAGGTATTAACTAGAGAATATTTGAACATTTTCTTTGAAATATCAAATTAAAAAATTGTATTTAAATATTTTACTGTAATCTCATTTCCAAGCGGTGGACGTGCCGGAGTGGTTATCGGGCATGACTAGAAATCATGTGGGCTCTGCCCGCGCAGGTTCGAATCCTGCCGTCCACGTTTTTTTTTCGTACTTTTTGATGAGCTTGAAAGTGAAATGTCGGAAATGCCACAATCGTCAGATCACATCATTTTGGAAACGAGGAAGTCTTTTGTAATTTCATATACAGCCCTAAAAAACTAGTAATCACACTGAAGCCCCAAACTCGAAAGAGGAAAACAATCGCTCTCACTCCCGCTCACTTCCTCTTTTCGAATTACAGTATTTACACTTCTCTCTTCGAGTAGGCTTACAGTTTAATTCGGATTATTCAAATTCAATCTGTTAACTTGGACGATGACTGCCCAAACTCAGAGGTCCGACCCGGAGGATCCGCTGGAGGGCTACTCAGGTCTAACGCTGTTTCCTCGTACACTTGCGTCGATTCCAAACGCTCCTAAGCCCTACGATCCTCACGATCTTCATCGCGTCCACAATTTCCTCAAGTCCATGGTACTTTGTTCCCAAAGCTGTTTGTTAAGTTCGTTTTAGCTTGATTTCTTAGGGTTTGTTTGGTTTCTGCTAAAGAAATGCAACACAGAATGTTGAATTTTAAGTTTTGAGGGTTAAAACGGTTTGTTGTTTGTTTATGTTTTAATTATTTGGCATTTTGACTGTTTGAGGTTTGTGATTGGTTTTTTTTTTTTTTTTTTTTTTTTTTTCTGAAATTAAGTTGATATGCATTTTTTTTTTCCTGTAATTTCAGACCTTACCAAACCCGAATACGATTGTGGAAGAGGCGGAAGCTGTTGTAGATTGTAGTTCAGGACTCGCTGGATCTGAAATCCCAAGTTATTTAATATCAGAGTACAAAAATGAGCATGTTGCTGCAAGGGGTACTGAAAACCCCCAAGAACGAAGACCTGCTTTAGGCCGTAAGCGAGCTCGGTTTTCTTTGAAGCCTAACTCGAGGTAAAGTGTGTATTTGGTGCCAATTAACTTGGAAAAAGAATTGGACTTTCTTTAAGAGTTGTGAATGTTAGTTTAACCGGGTTGTATCTTCGTTGGCAGTCGACCTACTGTGAATTTGGAAACAAGTTTGGACATTGGTAAACTGAAAGATCCTGAACAGTTTTTCTTGGCTTTTGAAAAGATTGAGAGTAAGTTTCCTGCTTCTTTTTCTTGTAAGAAAAAGTTTGTTGCTTCTTTTTATTACAAAAAGTGGTGCATGTTTTTGCATTTTGGAATATATGTTGTTGTTTTGTGACTTAGCTCTCTGGGTGTTTCAATTGTTGTATAGATGCAAGAAAAGAATTACAGAAACAAACTGGTGGTGATTTGATGGACTTGAATCTGCAAAATTCGTCCATGGCTGCTCGGCCTCGTCGGCCTGGAATTTTGAGGTAAGTTCAGCATGTTTAAATTAAGGACTCATTCCTTTAGTTATAGAACATAGCCTTATAATTCCATATTTCAGGAGGTCAGTTAAATACAAGCATCGCTATTCAGATGTTCTGTCCTCTCAAGAAACCTTGGAAGAGAACATTCTCAGTCCATCCGGTTACAGTGTGCAACAAGAAACCATCAATCCAGATGATGCATCACTGGATAGAGAACTAGTTGATGCAGCATTGCAAGAAACAGAATTAGCTGGTGAGTGAATGCTATTGAAGAGAAAGGGTGACTAGTTCACCTAAATTGGTGACATCTCTTCTTTACTCCTCTCTCTTTCTCCCTGCCATATCTCCTTCAAGATTTTAGCCTGATATACAATTTGACTTTTGATTTCCTTATCTTGCTAGTTTTCATCCAATTAATAACCCTGATGGAATGAGTAACAATATTGTATGTAGATTCAATAGCCAAGTCAGAAAAGAAAGTTAACGATCTCTTGGATGAATTGCTTAGCGATAATTGTGGAGGGCTTGATGGGGATGATCCAGTCTCTCTTTTACAGGAGCACTTGCAGATTAAACCCATTGATCTAGAGAAATTAAGTCTTCCTGAATTGCAAGCTGTCCGAAGGATCGATTTAAAGGCTTCAGGAGCAAACTTGCCGAAGCCTAGGCATGTATTATCAGACATACAGAATTTGTTAAAAGGAGTCAGCAGTAAAACCCCAAAGAAGTGTCAGCAGGCAGAAAGCCCTGTTTCTTCTTTAGCTTCTCCAACTCCAGCAAAGTGTCCACTGAGCTCAATAGTATCATTGAAGAAACGCATCTTGCGGCTGAATCCACTAACTGATCCGTATTCTGCTCATGAGATCGACCAATCAATAGCTAGAAATCTTCTTGCTTCTGAAAGTATCAAAAAACAAGCTGATCAGGTTAACACGGAAAAGGAGTTGAGCGCTTCTACTGAGTTGAAGTCTTCAATGATAGAAGAAAGTGACGCTGCAGACATGAATCTGGGTTTACCTCATGGGATGATGGGAAATGCTCCTCGTTCATCGGACAAAACGGTGAATGATAGTTTAAGTAGACTTGGTTATGGAGTTGGTGTTGGCTCAAGCGGATCTCATGCTTATGTGGAGAATAAAAATAGTAGCAGTTGCATGGAGAACAGGATTGTTAATGAGATTTTGGGTAGGCCTGATACTGTTACAGATTTTCAGACAACTGTCCCAAATGGATTGGATGACAAGGTAACTTTATGTTTTAACCTGTTTATATTTGGTCAGGTACTGTGCTAAGTCTTGATCCTGAATGTTACTCTTGTGTGGTATTCTGACAAGGTACATGAGAAAGATACGCTGCAGGAAGCTGGAGATCTTCTATGTCCAGATCTCAACATGGAGGACTCAACTGTGGAAATTTTGAACAGCACTCAAGGTGAGTTGGGAATGATTATTGCTTACTCATCCATCACAATAAATTTTAAGTGACTCATAGCATTTTCATAGTCATTATAAGTTCTTTCCAAATATAAAATGTGTGCTGAAACCAGAAATGCTGTAGTTCTGTCACCTGTAATAAGCATGATAGTCTTTTTCTTCTTCTTTTCACTTTTTCAATGGATAGCCTACTTTTGGTAGTACATTTTAGTTGATAATTCCATGCTTGATTCCAGCATTGAGCATGTGTTGGAACTTGATATGATCTTGATTCAAGCGTATTGAGTGCCAGTTTCATTCAGAGTATCCTGTGTAGAGCTAAAGCCAACAGGTAGTCATGAGTTTCAGTTTGACTTGTCACAATGAAACCAGTTATCACTGCACAGTTTGATTTGACGGAATGGAATATTCTACTCTACTCAAGCTACCATTGTCTTGCAATATTGTGCACACAACCTACCATTTCAATCTGGTTTTCTAAGGGCATGACCGTTTGAGTTGTCTTAGTAGAGTATACCTTTCTGCATCTGGAATTAGATTCTATTCATCTTTTTGCTTAGAGAATAACATAAGCATCCAAGCAGATTTCAACCTGTGGTTTTACCGTCCACCCATCTTATAAAAAGAGATGCCTTTAGGGTCCTAGGCGATTGGCTAATTTCTCTATTTGTGCTCAAATTCTCCTTCTTTTTTCTCCCTTCAACAGATCAAGAAAATACTCCTGTAGTTGAAGACCGTGCAACTGATGGGCTCTCCAATATTGCAGACACTGATCGAGAACAGCACAAAGAGGTTAATTTCAATCTGTTTTCAATAAAAATCAGTATTATGCATTCCTTTTTAGTAAATTTTTTCCTGTTGGAAGTTTCTGATCAGAATTACTTTACCAGAAAGCTCAAATTGCTACTGAGGAGCCACTGAATGATCAAAACAGAGCGAAATCACATCCACGCAAAAAAAGTAAACTCAAAAAAGTTTCTCATAGGAAAAACCTTGCAGGTATTTTACTTGCACAAAAATATTCAAAACGTAATATCAAAATATTCAGCTGTTTAAATAATTATATATGTGGCGTTTTAGCTTTTGGTACATTCTTGGTATCTGTGATGAGACAAAGCACCAGAATTAATATGCTTTACCTGTGCTCAATTTTTCTTTCTTTCTCTTTTCTCCTTTCAACCGGTCAAGCAAATCATCCTGTGGTTGAAGACCATGCAACGGATGGGTCCTCCAATACTGCTGAAACTGCTCCAGAGCAGCAAAACAAGGTTAATTTCAAATCTGTTTCTCATTAAATCAGAATTATGCACTCCTTGTAGTAAATGTTTTTCTTATGGAATTTAGTTTTGATCAGAAGTTCTTTTTATTTTGCAACAGGAAGTTCTACCAACTGGGGAGCCACTGAATGAGCAAAGCAAAGTAATATCACGTCCAGGAAAAAAAAGCAGACGGGAAGAAATTTCTCGTAGGCAAAGCCTTGCAGGTTTTTACTCGCAAAAAATTCAAAGTGCAATTTAAAAAAATTTCGGCTTTTTTATTTGAATTGCTATTGTATGTTGTTTTCTAGCTTCTGGTACATCATGGGAATCTGGAACAAGACGAAGCACCAGAATTAAGTCAAGACCTCTGGAGTATTGGAAAGGTGAAAGATTTTTATATGGGCGCGTGCATCAGAGTGAGTACCCTTTCATGTGGATTTATCCATTTTATTTATGAAATTTGTAATGTTGAGAGAATGTTGAGTATTAATAGTTTAAGATAGTGGAAATCTGAATTTCTCAAGTTTGTTCCATTTTTCGGTTGTTGAATGTAAATTTTTATGACAATTAAAATTCTTCTCTTAGTAATTTAAAGTTCTATGGCAGAATAGTTATAGGTCTTTAAAGTTATTGAGTAGAAAGAACAAACTAGAGTCGACCATTATTTGGTGACAGCCAGATCCTCTTTAGTTGTTTTTAATTTTCCATGTGATACCAAGTTACAGATGTTCAAAAACATATATCTCGCACACATAGAATGTGTATTACTCCTATCTAGTAGTGTAAAATATATTTCTATGATACTAGAAATAATATTTATGAACGGATCTCCTTCTCCAGTGTGTTCGATTAAAATTCAAGCATAATTCCTATGACGGTACAATTGATCAATTGTTTTTTATCTTGTGGCAGGTTTGACAACGGTTATAGGAATAAAATATGCATCTCCAGGAACCAATGACGGTAAACCAACCATCAAGGTGAAGTCTTATGTCTCTGATCAATACAAAGATTTAGTTGATCTAGCTGCCAGGTTTTGAGATGACTGTGAGCTGGTCTTCATTCACTGAATGGAAAACTTGGATGTGTGACTCGGTGGATGGAGTATCCATTGCATGATATCAAGCCGATGCTTGTTCGGCATTTTGAGCAACCCCTGGAGACGGTACAAAGAGAAAGTTAAAGATTATAATTTGAGTTCCAGTTTAAAAATCTGCAGCTTGACTTAGTTAATGTTTACTTGTAGAAATAGTTCGTTTCTGCACAAAGTTCTTCCTGGATTCTTGCATGTTCTGTATTCTCTCTTGACTTGTAGTAAATCAAACTTTGTATTTAGCTTATCAACAAGATCATTCTTTCTGAAAACGTGTATTAGATTCTGACTAATTGACTAACTTCACTTCTTTTTTGGTGAATTTTCTGGCAATCTTCTCGCATTAATTGTCTCGTGTTCATCTTTAGTCACTACATGCTTTGTTTGAATCTAACTTTATGTTGTAACATGTAATGAAATAAGATTTTTATTAATTATATAATTAATATAACAATAATTATAAATATTTATTTATTAATTAATTTAATTACTATTTTAATAAATCAATATTTATTACAATTACTAAAGGAATAATTTTTATTTTTATTTTAACAATAATTCTCTAGTAAGGATATTCTTATATAATTAATGTAAGGATCATATAATAAAACAATTTTACCTTAAATTTTAAATTGAAATCATTTGTAAAATATAATAAATACCATAGTTTAACGAGACTACATTTTCAACATGGTACATCACATATTCCTTTCATATCAACTGCGGTCTTTCTTCGATAACCCACTATGCTCTAGACGTCTAAATCTAATAAATTTTATGGACTTTTCAAAATGAGATCTGCCTATATTTCTTCCCAATAATATTGTGTTTTTGACTTTGATTCCCAGAAAATTTGATGTTTCCAAGTGCACTAACAGTGCACATTGATTTTGCACAAACTATCGACTTTTCAATTTCTGGTCTTCATTCTGAACGTATTTTCTCTTTCAATTAGCTGTCTTACTGTTCCCATTCTGAGCGTGTCATTTAATCTTACGCTGCGACACGGTTTTATTAACTTTTTTGACGGTTTAATCAGACTCATTCTCATTCAATTCAAATTGTTTGATTTTGGTTGGATAAATCCAATCCTTCACCTCAACTTAATTCACTTTGAAATTGAATCTTGTCAAGTTTAAAATTTTAGTCCAAGTTTGAATTAAATAGTCTTGAAATGGTACCATGGGAAATATTTCAAGTTTCCGAAGGTTCAATCAGAGAAGAAAGCTTGTTCAAGTGATAAATATGTTTGTGAATGCACAAATTACGATGGAACTTTTTACTTTTTCCATGCTGCGGAAACATCTTCTTCTTTTCTTTCTTCTTGATTTGAAATAACAATACGATATTGATGCCCAAGCTCTTACGCCAACGTTTCTTTGAATTTTTTCTTTGAGCAAAAGCACATATCCCCACCCTAGGTTTGACGATATTATAGTTTGGTACCTCTAATTACATTTATTCTAAATCTCATCCTTAAATAACACTATTAGCAATTTTGAGGATATAGGGGTGCAATTACCATAATGCCTTTAACCCTAAATTAATAAATTATGTTTTAACCCCTAAATTAGTAGAATTATAAAATTTATTATTTTATTTTCAAATTATCTCAATAACACTCTCGGTCACTACACACCCTGTCGATTTTTGCATGATCTGGGTTGTTTCTAATGGTGTCGAACCCTCTAGTCACCTCCATCACCTTTCTCGTAGTCCATCGTTCAAAACCCCTATGGTTCCTAACTCATTAGCCCCTCCAATTGTCGGCGTCGTTAGGCTTAGGGTTTCACTATTCTTCGCAAGATTCTGACTGTGAAAATCCAATTAGACACCACCACTACAACCAACGTCTCCAACTCTATAAAACTCCTATGTCCTCAGCAACCATTTAGTCGTCGTTCGCCTGTCGAGAGTTCGTCGACCTTTTTTGGTGAAGTGGTGGACGGCAAACGGTGAGCTGTTGTAGCTGGGAAGGTTAGGGGTTTTGTAAGGGAGGATGCGAGGAGTCAAATGGTGGCGGTGGTGGTGGTGGTGGTTGGGGTTGTCGCCTTTAAAAACCAGTTGCATGTCATGGCTGCCGTGACCGGCGATCGGCAAGTGATGAGGGGTTGTGAAAAGTAAGGTTTTATAAAGAGGAGGATGGGGATTCAAATGATGGTGAAAATGGTGATTTTGGGTGGAAGAATCACCTTAAAAAAGGGCAAAAAACGTTGGGGACGTCATCTGCTAACGTGCGTCGTAGGACTGTTAGAGGCAACGATATGCTAACGTGTGTTGTCCATGCAAAATAACCAGTTTACACCTTTACCGTTACATCAAACATTTTTCTGTTACTTTAAGAGTGAGAATCTAGGATAAATATAATCAGGGGTACAACTTAGGATTTCGTCAAACCTTGGGTGGAAATATGTCATTTACTCTCTTTTTTTTTTTTTCTTTAATTGAACGGCTTCTACACACTTTGAAACATGGTTGGGATTTCGGAATTTTTGTTTATTTGACTCGTTCTAATTTTCAGTTTGTTCATTTGATAATGACAATGACTTAAGTACGAGCACAAATTTTGAAGAAATTGTTTGATTTTAAAAACAAATTGGCATATGAAAATTTTGTATGCATTTTTTTTTTTTAATTGATCAAGGTATCTGGCCTAGCTTATGTATACTTTGACTAATCCTTGTGACCCATTTAACACGCTACAAGCCCAATGTTCAATGTTTCAAGATAAATCATAAATGTGGTAGATGACCCCAAGGTGGTTTGAACTTAGAAAGTCAATGAAGAAAACAAACTTTCTTGATCCTCAGACCAACCCCTTAGGGTTAATTTGTATGCATATTAACTTAAAAAGTTGAAGTTTTAAGGAAAGATTTCGATATGAGTTTAAGTTTTAATTACTTGATCAGTGAGACCTTTTGCCTTGAATATACTATTAAATAACCATTTGACCTAAGAACTTAAACTTTTACGTGATACCGAAAACTAATATTTAATTCTTACAAAAAGAACTTGACATTTGAATAAATAAACATGATTTATAATATGGAATAATGAATTTGTAATATTAAAGTAAGATTGATAACTATATGAGTTTTTTTTTTTTAGGTAACTGAGTATTCAGACCCACATTGAAACATGTCTAATCCTCAGGGTTATGGAACACTCTATAAGTACAATAAATCAAGGTAATTGCACAAATATGGTAGATATCTCTCTTGTGACCTCAGTAACTAAAGGATTTACCATTCGACCACAAGGAGAGAGATACTATATGAGTTTTGACATAATAGTTTAGATTTGCTACAAATTTTAAATTCTAATATCATAAGTTTCACATTAATCTTCAATATCCAAACCAAAACAATATTGTGGTCACGTCTTTTTTATTTTTCTTTTTTTAAATACAATCTCTCAAATTACTTATTATTTTTAAACTTTTATATATATATATATATAAAACAAGAAAGTGGTAAAAACCTAAGTGTTACTTTGAGATTTTATGCTGGACGTATTAAATTAATGCTCGATGATTAAATTCCTTTTTATGAATAGCAACAAATAATTAAAATTATTCCATAATGCTACATTTCTAAAAAGAGAAATATAAAATAAAATAAAATAAGAGATCGCAGTGCACAAGTCAATTGTTGTGACTATAAATTCTAATTTTGCAATAAAAATAATTATCCAAAATTTGTTGTCTATTCCCGAAATAAAAAAATTAATTAGTGGGTGCTTCATGCATGCCGTACGGTGACAAAATAGTGGGTATATTACTTTGATAAGTCAAGTGATGTTTGATTTAATTAAAGATTGGACAGTTGACTCATACCAATTTCTGGAACCAATTTCGATAATTAATGTCGATTTCAGCTCACATCAATTACTCATTGCATTGCCTTCTCTAATTATTTATTATTTTTAATAAAATATTAGGTAATTTAGATATATTTTAATAATATTTTATCCATAAAATAATTAAAATGAAGTGAATGGTTGATATTGATTGGTGGATAAACTAAACTAAATGAGTTGGCGCAATCATCCTCACAAATTAAAAATTTTATTAACTGTGCTATATATTCTCCACGAAAACACCCCTCTTTCTATTTACAATACCACATGGTGAGGCGTGGAATAAGTAAAAATTCAAGAAGACTGATTAAAAATGTATAAATTAATTAACTTTTGTTAATAATATTTTATCAATACGTCTCCATACATTTAATTTGGTCATGTCACATGGGCATGTCGGCATGTATACCCATCAACTCTGTCCTTCATAGCCACAAAAAAATAACTTTATAATATAAATTTATTCTCTAGGAAAAGATGTGCTCCCACCCAAGGTTTGGCCAAATAGTAAGTTTTCATCCCTGATTTTGTAAATGGTTTGAAAGAAGTAGTTTGAGAGAGAGAGAGAGAGAGTGCTTGTGAGAGAAATTTGAAACGTGGAGGGTTATTTTGAAAATTTTATTTTCATTTTAGATTTAATATAGTGTAAATGATCACTTTATCCCTTGATCGTTCTATTAAACAATTCTATATATCCACCCAAGGTTTGGCAAAATGGTAAGTTTCTACCCCTGATTCCATAAACGATTTTATAGAAGTAATTTGAGAGTGAGAGTGCCTGTGAGAGAAATTTGAAATGTGGAAGGATATTTTGAAATTTTTATTTTCATTTCAAGTTTTAAAACAATGTAAATGATTACTTTACCTTTTGACTATTCTATTAAACCATTTTCTATTAATTTAAGAATGAGAATCTAAAATTTATGAAACCAGAGGTGAAAACTTATCATTTCGCCAAACCTTGGGTGGAAACATGTCGTCTACTCTAATATAAATGCCAAACCCTAAGTCAATTATCATTTATCAAACACTTTACTTGATTCTAAAACAACATTATAGTGTCTTTTGACATGGCAGCTCAATTTTTTAGACATTCATGTCACAACAAAATAAAATTCTCCAATCTCCAGCTCACTACTTTATAAATGGATAGACTTCAATCATATTATATTATACTTTAATCATACAATTTTAATTAAGTTCAGCAACATGAATGATGTCCCTTCATTGTAAGTGTAACGTATACTAATCGAATTTTTCATCTTTCGGTTCATGTTTTATCCATAAGTTAAGGTATAATTTATTAATTAAATCAAGGTCAACTCTTAAAAATTATTGAGCAGAATATTGGCTTTAATCTGTTTTGTAAACCTTATGTGTCTAGATAATGTTTGTCCTTAAAACTGCCACCATATGTCAATCAACCATTAATTCACTACTCGAAATCTAACCTATTTAGGTTATTAATAAAGATAATCATTATAATTTTTATCTAACTAGTAATTTCAGTGTTCTAAAATATTAGTTTAGATTTTTGTAAACTGAATCAGACACCCTCGATCATCAAAACAATTTTTTTTTTTTCAGGGGATTAAATTGTGACTTCGAACAGAAGTCTAATATCATTTAATGCAATATTAAGAAAGTTAAAATTGATTTAATTCACTTTAATTTTAGTATCAACTCAAATAAATAAATGTATACTTCATAAGAATACACAAGATATTATATTGTAGATCGTATCTCGTGTAATGGAAAGAATGTAAAGTAATTTATTTTTTATCAATAAAAAAATATGCTTTATTTGTAAAATGGGAATCCCAACTTTAAATCAAGTGATAATATATCATAATAATTATAAAGATATATTATCTTTTACTTTATTATTTAATTTTAGCTTTAACGTGTGTTTATTGGTTGATATTAAAGAATCTTTAAACACACATTAAAGCTAAAACTAATATTACACTTGTAAAAACTTTAATCAAAAATATTTTTTTTTAACAAAATGACGGAACAGAATATAACGGAGTGAATTAATATAAAAAATCAAAATAACGAATAATTGCAAAAATACTTCTAGAAAGAAGTTTTCATATGTTTAATCCACCCACGTGTCACCACGCAACATGACCATTAAATAATTTAAAATTTACCAAATTCAATTATTTTTATTTCATGTTCACAATCTGTCAATGGCCACGTGGAGCCCAGTGACTTCATTTATTTCAATATATAAATCTTAAGTATTAACTAATCAAAGCCTTGGTAACTAATCAATCAATTAATTAACGGATTCATACAAACTCCTTTAACTTCACGATAGAATAAATAAAATTTTATTATATAATGCAAAATGTTATATTTAGTTATTTACAAACGAATCACACTATATTAATTTAATTTTTAATTTTTTGATTTAAAATAGTGACATAAATTTTTTACCTTTCATTTCATACAATTGTAATGAATGAAAAGTTATATATAGTTTTTTCATGTGTTATTTTATCTGTTTTTTAAAATCATTAAATTATAGTTTATTAATGGTTATTGATTAGCGTCTCAAATTAAGTAAAAAAAATTAAGATAATATGTAACACAATATGAAATAATAAATATAGAATTTATAAAATTAAAATATAAACAAATATAATTTTAAACCATCAAAACCCTTATATTTCACGACTGAAGAGTAATATCTTTTATATTAAATTTAAAAAAAAATCATATTTACAATATAATAATAGATCATGTTACAAATATGATATTGAAAATATTATTTTAAAGATATTATAAATGGAAAATACTACAAAAATCTCAAACATTTTTTTTTTAACGTAAAGGTCAATTTAAAAAATAAAATAAAGTATATAATATTAAATATTAATAGTTATTAATTAGTGTCTTCGGCCATAAAAATTCAAGTTACTAATCTAACTATTTACAATATATAAGATACTGTGAAATAATAAATATACGATTTATAAAATTGTAATATATACTGTCTGGAACCTTAAAAAGAATAATTTCTTTTATATTAAATTGAAAGAAATTATATTTACAATATAATAATAGATCATATTACAAATATGACATTGAAAAATAATATTTTCAGTATATTATAAAGGAAATATAATACAAAAATCTCTAACCTTTTCTTAAAGAAAATGGCAATTTAAAAAATAAAAAAAAGGTATTTGATATCCAAAAAAAATAGGAAAAATATATTGGAACACTATATTATGTCACTTAAAAGAAATTTTAATTAACAATAATGGACTTTTATGTTAATTTTCAGAACAATGAAGACCATTAAAAATTATAAATCACCTAATTACAAAATCTATCTCAGACCCATAATAAAGCATCATTTCTGTCCCTCATTTAAATTTTATTTAATAATGGACAAAATCTTTTGATTAAAAATTTTATCCAATTAAGGGGAAGATGACGAATTTCCGAATCTCTCCAATATTCTTTCTTATTTAATTATGCAGAGATTGATGGTGATTCCGTAATTTCTGCCGAGCCAACAGTATATTTCTGTATCCGTTAGGCGTTAACAGAATCACAAAAACAAACGACGCCCCATTCCGAAACGTTTTTTTTTTCACCGTCGTTCTAGAATCTGTCACTTCATTTTAACACTTATCTCTTATAACCCATAACACACTCCACTCTCTCAACATCAGCCCTTATATAAACTCGACCCTTTAATCTTCTCTTCTTCATTCCATTTCCTTCTCACTTTTCTTCCATTCAATTTCCGATCATGGATCTTATTCCGGATCTTCCCTATGACATCGCTCTTCAGTGCTTACTTCGCCTCTCTTACAAGCAGTTCCGTACTGTTTCCTCTGTATGCAAAACCTGGAACCACCAGATTCACCTTCCCGAGTTCCGCCGCCATCGAAAAGCCAGTTGCCATAGCCAGAAACTCGTCGTTATGACCCAGGCTAAGGTCGACCCGAATAGGAATTCGGGTTTTGTGAAGAGACTGGCTAGCCCGGTTTATAGGGTTTCTGTTTTGGAGGTGGGTTCGGGTCGGTGGTCTGAGTTGCCGCCGATTCCGGGGTTTTCTTCAAGTGGGCTGCCTTTGTTTTGCCAGGTGGCGGCTGCCGGATCGGATCTTGTTGTGATGGGTGGATTGGACCCTGTTACTTGGGAGGTTTCGGGGTCGGTTTTTGTTTTTGATTTTTTGTCGGCCACGTGGCGGCGTGGAGCGGATATGCCAGGTGTACAGCGGTCGTTCTTTGGGTGTGCATCGGATGGTGATCGGACGGTGTATGTCGCTGGGGGCCATGATTCTGAGAAGAATGCGTTGAGGTCAGCAATGGCGTATGACGTGGAAAGAGACGAGTGGGCCCGCCTGCCTGACATGACAAAAGAGCGTGACGAGTGTAAAGGAGTTTTCCAGCGTGGTAAGTTCCACGTCATCGGTGGATATTCTACCAATGCGCAAGGCCGTTTCGAGAGAAATGCCGAAGCGTTTGACGTGGAACAGTTTCAGTGGGGCCAAGTACAAGAGAACTTTCTCAAATCTGCCACGTGTCCTAGGACATGCACAGGTGGCGATGACGAGGATTTACTCATGTGTCACGAAGGTGCAGTGCTTGGACTAAAAGGCGAGACGTGGCAAGCAGTGACCAAGCTACCCGCTGAGGTATCCGACGTGGCATATGTGACGACATGGCAGGGGAAGTTGCTGGTGATTGGATGTGCAAGATTCGGTGAGCCCCACATTGCTTACGTGTTGGATTTGAAGAGTTACAAGTGGACAAGTATGGAAACTCCTAAAGAATTTTCTGGGCATGTTCAATCAGGCTGTTACTTAGAGATTTAAAGGTCTAGATTGTTGTTTTTGTTTTGTAAATACATGCTTTGTTTTTACACCAGAAGCAGTATTTTGTACACAAGTTTTTGTTTGATTGTCTAATCAGAGATTTTTTACCCTTCATTTTCATATTGTATATGTGTGTATATTATAGGTTTTACTTTTTTTTAGTTTTAAAAAACCCGTCATTTACTGTTGCATACATACTGTTAGTGTAAATGTGGGTATATCACCATTTCACAAATGGCATTAAATTGAGATGGGCATTGGCCAACTTTATTTGTTTGGCTGGGCGGCATTGGGTTTTATATAAACCATCCCTTTCAAATGATTTTTCTCTACTTCTATAGAGAAAATTTGAAATAAGAGAGATTTTTTTTTTTTTTTTTTTAGCTTGATAAATTTCTCTTTAGGTTTCATTAAATAACGACTTCTCTTTTCAAGTATCAGAAATAACAATATATTCACTACAAATGTATACCTAAACAAGTAGAAAATGTCTTAGAGAAGTATCGTGAAATAAATTGTTTTATATGATACCTAAACAAAGAAATTTATAGGGGAAATTGTGTTAAATCCTTATAATTATTATTATTTTCTGTAATATGATTATATCAAACTATTTATATTTTCTGTGGGTGTCCAGGTTATTGAATGCTCTCCACCGTTTTCCGCAAATAAATTTTACATAGTGGGCATAAATATATTATAAAAGACACTAATAATTCTTGTCATTTAGGTACGATTATGTACAAAAGATACTGCTCATCCTTGTCATTTAGGGTATGTCGGTGACTAATTTTTTATATAATTGAGTTGAATTGGAATTTAATAAATTTGAATAATTTATGATATTGTATTATACTTAGCTTTATTTATAATTATCTCAAATAAGTCAAATACATATACATTTTCTCAAATTTACTAATTAAAACTAATTATCATTTACTGAAGGATTGATATTACTTCAATTTTTGTCGGTTGATGAGTGTATTATTTGTACTTAATTTGAAGTCGGCCCTAAAATATGAGCCGCGTAAGAGAGGGCCGAGGGCGGGTCTCGTCAATGCGGCTTGCATGGGATTAAAATTTGAATTAGTGGAGCAGCAGTGCAGCACTAGATTAGTACTCAGGAGAGTCTGTACTTCCAATGGGTCAAAACTGTTGACTATACACATCATTACTGCTGCCGGGTCTTTGAGTCCAATACAGTGCAGCGAAACAAACGCGCCCTTATGGCCCAGAAGTTAAAATGCCGTGACGTTTGGATTGAAAACGCGGGCCAGGACAAATTTTCGCACCTCAAAATCCTGAATTTTGGACCGTTCAAAATTATAATTATTGAGTGTCAAACTAAGTATAAACCAAATCTCTTCCGTTAATTCCATCAATTGGCTCAATTTGAGCTTAAAAAAGTCAACATGACCGTCAATTGTCCCTGGATTAATTAAAGGGTCGCCTGGTAATTGCCCAATTTGCCTTTTGACTTTTGAATTATCATCTTAATTAAATGGATAATTAAATTAGTTAGACCCGCCTAATTGCTCAATTTGCCTAAACATCCCAATATATAAAAATTTTGTAAAATGAAAAAAATACCCCCACCACCTGCAGTGCTAGATCCCGGCCACCACTGCTGGAATCTGGCTATAAAATTTCTTTACACCACAGACCGGTCGGATCTGACAGGTAGGGCGTTGATATGACTTTTTCCGACCAGATCCACCACGGATCTGATTGAAAAATGTCAGATCTACGGCTAGATCTGGCAGTCGACGGTAGCCAAACTCCATCTTTGGCTGTTGTTGATCGTCAACGATGGCCATTTCTTTGGCCGTCGCTGACGGCCAGATCAATGAATTACCAGCCATTTCCAGGTGGTGTAGACTGTTTTGATAGATTTTGGCTACCACCGGCGGTGGTTGCTGGAATCTGGCAAGTATGGGTGGGTGGGAGTGTTTTTGTTAATTTCTAAACTTTTTTTCTAGGGGTATTTGTGAAATTAATAAACTTAAGGAGTCTAAAAGTAATAAAAAAATAAACTAATATTTCTCAAATAAAGTTTGGTGATTGTACATGAAATTACTGTATTACTAGCAAATGAAAATCGCTAGTAACACATGACAGAAGATACCAGTTTATAGTTTCTAAACCTTTTAGGTATCAAGTTATCATTACGACAAACCTGGGTAGTTGTAAGTTGTTCCCCTTTATTATTATTATTATTATTATTATTATTATTTTCTGTAATATGATTATATCAAACTATTTATATTTTCTGTGGGTGTCCAGGTTATTGAATGCTCTCCACCGTAGAGTCTGTACTTCCAAATTCCAATGGGTCAAAACTGTTGACTATACACATCGTTACTGCTGCCGGGTCTTTTAGTCCAATACAGTGCCTCAAACAAACGCGCCCTTGTGGCCCAGAAATTAAAATGCCGTGACATTTGGATTGAAAACGCCGGCCAGGACAAATTTTCGCACCTCAAAATCCTGAATTTTGGACCGTTCAAAATTATAATTATTGAGTGTCAAACTAAGTATAAACCAAATCTCTTCCTTTAATTCCATCAATTGGCTCAATTTGAGCTTAAAAAAGTCAACATGACCGTCAATTGTCCCTGGATTAATTAAAGGGTCGCCTGGTAATTGCCCAATTTGCCTTTTGACTTTTGAGTTATCATCTTAATTAAATGGATAATTAAATTAATTAGACCCGCCTGATTGCTCAATTTGCTTTTTGACCTTTTGAATTTTCATCTTATTTAATGGGATAATTAGATTAATTAGACAGGTAATCACACTCTATCTTTCCATTTTTGCTTGTTGCACGCACGATTTCACGTTAATAAACAATCAATTTTATTAAAAAAATGGAATTTGAATATATAATTACATTAATACGTGTACGGATTACGGAATGCAAATATATTGGGTAAATGTTGCCCCCAAAGAGATAGTTAAGTTCCAAATACTCCACCAATTTTAAGAAAGTACTAAAGAATAAAGATCCTTTGTTTAGCGTTTTTTCTAATACTTTTAGATTTTTTTTTTTTTTTTTTGATATTTTTAGAGTGTTTTCTAATCTTTTTCAAGAGGTTTTTGGTAATTTTGGTGAGGGTTGCGATACTTTTAAAAAATCTGTGCGCTGCTTGAGAGTTAATTATTTCTCATAAACAAGAAAATTAACCCTTAACTATCTCTTGGTGGTCGAGTGATTCGATAGAGTCTCTTAAGTGTATTACTCAAGAGGTCCCGAGTTCAAGTCCCTCCTCGATTGTTAATAAGGATAACTACTGGAGCTTTTACCTAGCCGATAGTTCAATATCCCAGAAAATTAGTTAAGGTGCATGTCAGCTGGTCCGGATACCTCTTATCATTAAAAAAAAAAAAAAAAAAAAAAAAAACCTGGACAATTCTTGGTATATTATCATCTCGGTTGGCTTCTTGTCATCCATCATGTCTAGATAAAAGCCTCTTTTTCAGACGAGTTGTTGTTTCATTGCCCATAATAAAAAGAAAAAAGAATAGAATTTGAGACAAATGGAAGGATGATTAATATGCAAATGCAAGACAAAAAGGGAGCCATAATTGAAGTATTTTTAATTCATTGATGCATGTGATTTCTCACCTTAAGCAAGATTTCTTGAAAAGTACTTGATGAATTAATTAAGTAGCTTAATTAGATGTCTTAATATTATATTTTGTATGTTAAACTTTGATTAAACAGGGGTTGAGAGCACATTCTAAAGAAACAGAAGAACCAAAGAAGAAAGAAACAAGCAAATAAAATTGAAACCCTTCTGTTTATTTGTCGTCTACCCAGTTATTCATAACGTACCAACCATCTTTTAATTTTCATCTTTATCTGGTTGTTTGTCTCACCAGTCACCATACATTATATTATTCCTCTCCATTGATTGGTTTCAACAGCACAAAAAAGAATAAGTTAATTAAAAGAGACAGAACAACATATTTCAGCCTCATATCCCTTCAATTAAAGAAGCGTTTTTTTTTTTTTGCGTGAAAGATTCCGATATTAAGCCTTAAAACAAACAACCCATTAGCGTATAGAAAACGATCGGATCAAATTCAAAACAAATAATATTTGTTTAATTAAATTCAGACTATTATTTACTCGTTTGAGTTTCGAGTTTTTATGACGTTATATTGATTGTTTGTTTATAACGTAACTAAACGGTAAGTTTTTTTATGTATGCTGGATTCAGATACATGGTAATAGTAGCTAGGTGAGTTCTCACATGTATTGTTTGTTTTGGGCCATGAGATCTTATACAGTTTACCCTAAAAAGAACCCTCTAAGTGGTGAGGGTATCCTTGTGTTATATACGTGATCAAAACCCTTATCTTCTAACCGATGTGAAACTTTAACATTAACAAAATATATAAATTTTTCGTTGATATAATGTAATGATATAATGTTGTTAATTTGTTATAAAACCCACTAAAATGAGAAACAAAGGAAAACGATTAAATCAAAAGGGACAATGGAGGCAAATACGAATGAATGGAATAATAGTTTTTACCAATTTGATAATGTATTATTATTGGACTTGTATTCTAGCTGTTAGCAGGGGTCACAGTTAAAGTAGTTACAATAACTGGAAAAAAAACCCATTAAAAAATACACTAAAATGAAGTGAATATACATAAGATGTTTTTGGTAATTAATTCCAAATGGCATGCTTAAATATTTGTACCAAGACTTCACAACTAGATAAATGCTTCCGTGAAAATAAAACATGCCTGCTGGATTGCAATCAAATCAATATTTAACAACAAAACGTACCGTATAAACAACACAATAACATGATCATGACTAAGCACTTCATAGAAACTTACAAAATTGTCAATTTCACAAAACACATAAAGGGGTAATAAATGATGAATCCCATGTGTTGCCTCATACTTTGAGGCAACATTCCTCAATATAGGCAAGCCAATATTAGTGGGGTATTAACGGCGTTGTTGTCGTGATCTCTCCGATGCATAAGTCAATAATAAGTACAAGAGCCCTTGCCTTTGGCTTGTTCCTTTGAATTTATGTGTTTAATAACTTCTCGTTTTACTTATTTTGCGGTGGCATGTTGAGAAGTTAAAAGTAACCGGTAAGGTAATCATCCAGTAATAAGAAATGACTGTTGAGTAATGGTTGTAAAAGACTTTAGGACACTGTCCAGTCAAGTATCAACTTCTCCTTCTGGCGGTGGTGGCCAAAATTTGGTAAATGTGGGTGGGTGGAGGTGTTTTTATCAATTTCTAAACTTTTTATTGTAGGGAGTATTTAGCTAAATTAACAAACTTAGGGGTTATTTTTGTTAATTTTCAAATTCAAACTCGTAATAACAACTCAACTCAACTTTTTCAAACTCGAAATAATAAGAGAAACACACCCAAGATTTTCTTGGAAACCTGCAGGTTACATCATTTCATGGCTAAAGGTCAAAGTGGTGTGGTTCTAGATCACATTGATCACTGGTTTGTCACAAAAGGATGAAGTTTTGCTATCAGTTTGTCAAACTATTTTGGATGCTATGAAGGTGATAAACATTGTTCATTCATGTGCCAGCTGGGTTTAAACTGTGGATGAAATATGATAATCTTAGCTTATCTTGATCTTTAACCTCACACTCGCTCGTAAATTAATAAAGATCGGTTGACAGACGAATCTCACAAACCCGATGTGATAGCTGATAATTGGTTTTTGATAAATTTTTTCAACTTGCTGACGTCCCCAACGATGTGATGGGAGTGTCACGTCGGATTTGTGAGATTCATTTGTCAGCGTAGTATTGCCACTTGTAAATATATAAAGCAATATATACAATAAATACTGTTAAACTTACCAAATTGAAATCCTAATTGTCGATAACATATCATTAATTATAAAACATGTGATAATTTATATCATTTTTCCGTAATTAATATGATGTTATTTCATAGACAAATTAGTTGATATCTAAAATTGATCAACAAGATAATCCATATAACCAGTGGCATATTAAGTTTAAAATGCAAAAGAATCAAATGGAAGAAGGCAAGCCACTGCATACACCATTTGGAGTTTATTTCACAACCAATACAGAGGAGAAAATGAGATACCACACCACAAACACCATCGAAATAGCTACACAAGAACAATAAGGAGTGAGTCGAGTCCAAACTTGCAATTGGTACGATTATTGATCCAATCTTCACGTAACCCTGATAGATAGTACAATCAATTATTCGAGGAATATGTGTAAATAAAAGAGAAGAAAGAATAATGTTAATTTCCATATAAGAGTTACAGAGTAATGACAGAGCATTCAGATAACTCCAAAGCTTTTGAATCAAAATTACTCCGTACAGAAAATGTAAACTTGAAAATATATACTTATCAATTGATAGATGGCCTGAACCATGTTGAAAGCTTATTAATTTAAGAAACGAATTTTATGTTAGACTGGAGAAAAATCAACAGTCACTAACGGTGGCTGAGCTATAAATTTTTTTATGGGGGGCCAAAAAAATTTCAATGAATAATGGGGCCACATAGACAGCTGCATTTATAGGGTCTAAAGTGCTAACTTCAAAACTTAGGATGGCGAAAGGTAAATAACTGAACTTAAGTGACTAAATTGAAAAATTCTATATGTATGTAGCTCCGTCCCTGGTCACTAACCAAGCTTTAACCAGAGTACATAGATTTCAGTCACAGCATGCATGGTGCGACAAGGGCCAAAAGTAAAACTATTTAGGGACTTTGATCAAAATATTTTTGGTCCATCAAAGATTAAATTGAAGATTTGATCAAATGATATTATTATGATTTATGCAAATTAAAGGCATATCTACTTGGAGAATTTCAGACATGGGAAAGAAGACTCAATGTACCTCAAATAATAGAGAACGATGAGTATCATAAAGTGTCGAGTAGTTCACAAGTCCAACTGCATCTGATTTAGAAAATCCTCCAATTTTATGAATTACAGGATACTGCATTGTGATTCACTGAGCCACAAAAATATGAAATCAGCAGCAAGATTAGTATATGGTACATATAATACTATCTTCACAAATATCTCTCACTAATCCCATGTGTCAGCTCGCAATTTGCTTAATCAGATGTCACTTATTGTTGGATAGACGGGATCTATGCGAACTGATCAATTATAAGTTGATACGTCATAGATGAAAAAAAAATTAGTAAGAAGTGTTTATGAGTATATTATTACTTGCCATTATTTGATGTCCCATCCTCGTGCATGTTTTCAAAACTTTTGTTTCCGGCTAATTGAACTGCTAACTATCATTTCAACCCTTCTTATTTTCTACTTCTATTATAGGCCTTCTAAAATGTCTTGTCTCTCCCTCTTAGTTTTAATACCTTTCAATTTGTTGCCCTTATAAAATTGACCTTTTTAATTAACTTACCAATAAACCACTCAATTTATCATTTAAATTAATAAAAAATTAAGTCTTATAATACTAAACACATAATCTTTTATTAGTAATTTCATAATCAAATTTTTAATTAAATTATCAATATATCTTTCAATCTATCATTTAAATTAATATAAAAGAAATCGAGTCTTACAATATTTATATTTTCTATAAGTATATAATTCCTCGACAATGAACTAAAGTGTCAAGAGTAAGTAAAAAATGATAAAAATATTGTCTAAATTTCTTGACCTTCTAAAAAAAAAAAAAGGTTAAGGAAAACCAGAATTGTCAGGAGCCTAAGTGTCAATGAAGCTGCTTTTTCTAGTAGTGTTGAAAAATTCATCAATAATGTTTAATTTTGTAATTTAATAGCATTTTACTCTTTGGGTTTTCTGTAAGAGAGGAAATTGGAGAAGAAAAGTAGAAAACTATAAATGTCTCTACCCTCACCCCTCTCCATATTTAATTAAAAATAATGTCATAGCTCTACTCTAAATCATGATCAACAAAATTCAATGGTGATAAAAGAGAAGTAAAAAAGTAATTACATATAATGTCAACTCATCTTATCTTATCATAGGTGAATCTTCGAAGATAAACGGTTCATAAAGAATGTCAAAATTTCAAGATACAAGTTGATACCCCATTATTGAAAACTTGGAAACGAGTTTGAGCGGACAAAAGTTAGCAAAAAGGGGTCTTTGTTAAAAATAAATGCAGTAAATTTTCAAGATATATAGTTTTGGATTAAAGATCTTTGTGTTTGAAACAATGTATAAGAAACTACTACTATCAAATGTTGAAGTATCAGTCTCCTTGAACTAACACTTTAAATATATGATGTAATCCTACTTTTTGAGTAACAGATGAAAATTTTCAGTTTGGGCTTTTTGATGGGTAAATTCGAAAGCAGGAAATAAATTTAAGTACTGCAGGAAAATAAAATTTATAGATCTAGATCAGATTCGAAAGTACGGCGGATACGAACCTTTCAAACTTTGTTGCTTCATAAGTATAACTTGCCGTGTATGACGGCCTCTTACTTTCTGTGAAATGTGGAAAATTGTAGGAACAAGACTGTGCTGTCTGATGCATAGAGGGATAAGAAACTTTTGAACTCGAATTCTCCCATTCCAGCTTATCCCACCGCTTTTTATCTCCCACTATCGAAATTCTGCTGTTATTCTCGTTGAAAACGTCAAGTGGGAGTTTTGTTAGACTTGGGCATCTAACTACCCATATCCTCTCCAGGGAAGGGAAGTGCATGACTCGACATATGCTCTTTAAAAGTGGTAGATCACGAAAATTCAACAGCTTCAGATTTTTAAACATGTTGGGGTCTCCTGATGCAGAGCTCAATTCATTGGCAATTAATTCTACAAGTAAGGGACAATTTTCAGCAAAAACAAATCTAAGCCGTGTAGCATATCTGAGGCATGTCAAATCTTTTATCAAACAATTATTGATATAGAGATCATGAAGGTTGTCGAAACGGCCAGAACTTAGAACCGAAGAGGATGTGTTGGGCAAATGCAATACCTCGCTCTGCTCACACTGGATTACTAACCTTTTAACATGACTTTGTAACTTGGGGGATGATTTAAATTTAAATACAGCATCGACAGTAAACAAGGTTACACTGATTTCTTCTATTTCTTCCAAGCACTCCAATTCTTGTAACAAGGTTGTATTCCAAAAGGAATAAAAAGGCAGACGGCCACGTCTAGTTGGTACTCTGCTGAACACCTGTAGCGATGAAAGACTAGATATCACTCCTTCTGAAATGGCTTTAAGAAGTGTCGTTCCATCTAAGAGCAGGAACCTCAATTTTGTCAAACTGCTAGTCACAATTGGCAACTCTAGTATGTTTGTATCCGACAAATTAAGATACTGCAAATTTATCACTTCAAGCATCGCAGGCAACCTAGTCAAGCGAAAATTCTTTGACAAGTCCAAAACTTTCATGGCATGCATTGATTGAAAGAATGAATTTGGAAATGTCTCAATTGCAGTATTTCTGACCAAAAAAGTTAGCAGACGCGGACAAAATGGTGTTTTTCTGAAAAGTATAACACTTCCACCCCATAGTGATATTCTTACTGTCTCCTTCCATGTAGCAATGCCACGTTTTCTAATGGATTCTTGATTTTCAAAAACCAAAATCTTGTTCTCCTTTACAGAAGCTAACCACAAAGCCATATCACGAAGGACGTCGTGCATCGTAACATAATCATCAGACTCTCCAGCCTTTTCCAATAGACATGCATTTTTCAAACTTCCAATAATATACTCTCCCGCATATCTTGCATCCTCTAAACCATGATCACGTAAAATTCCCTCCGCAATCCAGAGTTCAATAAGTTCATCTTTTCTAATCCTATGATCCTCCGGAAACATGGAACAATATAAAAAACAATTTTTGTGTTTATCATCCCTCAAGCTATCATAACTAAACCTCAGAACTCGGAAGACATGACTTTCCAAATCAGTAAATTCAGATGGTTGACTCCGCAGTGTGATGATTGCATAACACCATTCTACAGGTTTTCTCCTATTAGACATGGCCCTTCCAATAGTGATCAAAGCAAGCGGCAAACCTTTGCACTCTTTGGCAACAGTTTTAGCAAGCTCTGGAATTTCTGGATGAGAATTCAGAACATCCTCCTTCACACATTGCCGAAACAATTCAAAGGATTCTTCAAATGACAAACATTTCACTTCAATTTTTTTGACAGCAGCGTCCATGCTATCGCACACATCCTCTGATCGGGTTGTAAATACTATTTTTGACCCATTTTGATTGTAGGAAAGATCAGGAACTCCTAACTTTCGCAGGTCTATTCTCTCCCACAGATCGTCTAGCAATAGCACAAACTTTTTTCTACATAAGCTTCTGCAGATTTCTGCAGCTCTACCATGCTCATCTATTTTCCTTTCCCATATTTCTTCTGGAATATCTAATTTATTTCGTATAACTTCTTGAATTCCATTTAAGTTCACTTCTTTAGACACCGTAACCCAAATCACCACATTAAAACCTCGTCTTTTATCGATGAATTTATTGTTAAGTTTCTGTAAGAGGGTGGTCTTGCCAACACCTCCTATGCCATATAAGCCGATCATACTCACTTCATGGTCGTCAAGACAACTCCAAACTTCATCCAATATGGAGTCCATGCCCACAGTCTTCTTCACAGATATCTCATCCACTGGAGGCGGCGGAAGTTTTTCAGAAACATCATCCAAAGATTTGAATTCCTTCCCTTTGTTTATTAAATCCTTCACAGCTTCAGTCCCCTTAATTACTTCTTTACCAAGCTTGTAGCTAGAGTAACAGTTCCTGGGACAGCAACTTCCCAAACATTTCTTTTGGATCTCTCGCTCTCCCTTCTGCAAAATATTCTGCACTTCCTCTAATTTGAGTTGCACACTTTCCAGCCAGCCTTCAACTTGGTTTGTACGCTTACGATATTGCTGCTCTGCACGCTCGACCTTGCTCCTGACATCTTTGCTGATGTTCTCGAGTTCATCCCTTGTCTGTCTTAATGAAGTGATGTTCTCTTGGAGATGACGGATGATAGCAATGCCATTGGAAGTGCAATTCCACAATGTAGGGAGAATTTCGATGATGGGACCAACGAAATCCATGATCACCAAAACAAAAAGTTCAGAGTTTGTGAAACCTCTGGTTGCAGAATTCGTTTTCTAATTAGGCTTTCCCGTTGAACACAGAGGTCTGAACTTTCAAAACAGTGGCTAGACGAAGTCACTCGGGGCCACTTAACGCATCTATCTCAGCCTTTATCACTATCATTTCCCCGCAAACAACATCAAATTGGCCCCCATCACCGAAGTTTTTGGAGATTTGAGGAAGGTAGAAGAGGCGTGAGACAAAGAGGAGACTTGTGCGTGAGGATTAGAGAAGGATTTGATTGGGAATAAAGGTGTGGAAGATGATTGAAGTTTCTTTTTGTTCTTTTAGTTTAATATGTTTTGTAACTTTTGACCGAAAATCAAATGACTCAATTAAGCTTTATTAGTCTAACTTTTGACTGAATTGCGCTTTAGAAGTAAGTTTCTCAATGTCCGTTAGTTTTGCGAGGTGTTTCCAAATATTTGATGTTATTGAGGAATGGCGCCATAAAGTGTGAGGGTGAGGCAAGCAAATTATTTATTATTGAAAGTATTACTAAATGGATGCATGAATATTTATCACATGGCCTTGTGATTAGCTTGTGCACATGAGAACATATTGATCCAGAAGAAAACGGGTTATTTAAAAGAGTTGAAAGTAGTGGACCCAAAAGCCATTAATTATTTACCTTTTAAGGAGTAGGGCTAGAATCTAAACTATAACATTAACATCTGCCTACAAAACATGGACCTATATTCTGATTGGAATTTAATGACCAAGGTAACTGTCATAAAATTCGCTTTGATAAACCCTAAACCATAAAATTCACTTTGATAACTATCAGTTCAGTGACCAATAATAACTGCTCTTAGTATTTGATTAGTGGGGATCAAGTTTCTTGGAGAAGAGATAATTGGTCTTAATTATTATTTGAGTGCGAATTAAGGAAACAAGTTTATAGTAGAATTACTATTTGAGTGGGAATCAAGTTTCTTGTTTTTAGTAGAAGAAATAATTGTATTTTGAGTAAGAATCAATTTTCTTGTTTGAATGGGAATCCTTTTCTCATCGAGCAGAGCTTTTAGGCTTTAGACTTCGAATAATTCTTTGCTTCTATCCAAACTCACCAGCTTAACAAGTTAGGTTTCTTCTAATATGTGATTGGAGTTTTTCTTTTAATAAAAAACAATCTATTAATTAGCATCACCACATGAACAGAGTAATAGTTGTAGAAGACTTTACGACACGTGTTCAGTCAAGTATCAACTTCTCCTTAAAAAAAAAGTTGAAAATTATTCTATATTATTGGGTTTTTTGGGTTATTGTTTGGATTTGGGTAAAGAGCCTTGATTGATCCATAACCCATTACTCAAGTATTTTACCTCGAATTCTAGCTCGAGTTCGTTGAGGCCCGTTTGACTGATTTTCTTCTTGTTTAAGAAAAATAGACTTATTTGTTTGAATCTCCTGGGTTTTTCATTTTTTGATCCTTTGGCCCGTTTGAATGATTGACCCACCCTTGGGTAAGTGGTAGAATGAGTATTGGGATATGTGGTTAAAACACATAGTCTTAGCTTTGAATCATCCTGACTCCAAAGGTTTAAGTGGTATAATCAGTGGCATATTAAGTTTAAAATGCATGAGAATCCAATGGAAGAAGGCAAGCCACTGCATACACCATTTGGAGTTTATTTCACAACCAATACACAGGCGAAAATGAGATGCCACACCACAAACACCATCGAAGTCCACAGCTACACAAGAACAACAAGGAGTCCAAACTTGCAATTGATTCTATTATTTATCTAATCTTCACGTAACCCTGATAGATAGTACAATCAATTATTCAGGGAATATGTGTAAATGAAATAGAAGAAAGAATAATGTTAATTTCCATATAAGAGTTACAGAGTAATGACAGAGGCATTCAGGTAACTCCAAAGCTTTTGAATCAGAATTTACTCCGTACAGAAAATGTAAACCTGCAAATATATACTTAGCAATTGATAGATGGCTCATCTGAAAACCTGAAAACATTGTTGGATAACAGTTAAAGGAAAGGTGCTGTGGCATCTGGATAACACTGATAGTAAGATGCTGATGTTAATTCTGTTTGTATCAAAGATCAAGAAAAAGTAAAAGCTTCCAGATGTGTATAAGGAGTAAAAAGTGATGAAATTTTGAACTCAAACGCTTCTTAATGTCTACATATGCTCCCACTCCAGCTTATTATTCCACCAGGCTTGATGTCCAAATATTGACAGAAAATTTAAAAATCCAGAACATAAATTACAGTCAATATTTGGAGTAAAAAGGGAACATATTATTAGCTTGAATTAAGAATTCAGAACATACAAATTAAAGATTTGATCAAATGATATTATCTTGATTATAGTATATATCAATATACGCCCCAACTATTGTGATAACAACTTCAACAATATCTGATACGACTAAGAAATCTACTACTTTTGTGATTATGACAAACATATCAAGCTTGGATCTCATTTTATCCCAATTAGTAAGTAACGAATTCAATTTTGCGAAAGTAGGTAGCGGCTAAAGATCCTGGTCAGCCACAACATCCCCAATATATATTTTTATTTTGCTTAAAAGTTTTGGATTTACAGTTCTTCAACATTACGAAATTACTAATGTCAAAAGTTGAGTGTCTAGGCTCCTTCATCTAATGTATTCCTACTCTTTAAGAAATGATGAAAAACTTCATATTTTACTTACGTGTTCCACTTACTTTGGTCCTTCTTATTAGTAAATTTGAAACTTTTTTTAGGAATATGAAACTTAAGTAATACGGCATAATAAAATAATAAAGATAGACTGATAAACATTTTTCACAAACTTCTCAATAAATATTGATATAGTAGTTCGTAATTGATTAGTTTATATTTGGTTAGACAGAACCTATTATTAGACAGATGAATTCATTATAAGCTGATCAATTACGAATTAACATATCATATTTGTAAGAGAAAGTTATTGAGAAAGATTTGTGAATGTAATATTATCATATGTCAAATTAAATGGGATTCACGTAAACTTTCTAGATTATGGTGATTGTATGTTCAGGATGTAATTATAGCATTTAATTATTATACAGATGTATGCAGATGGTTGGCCGGACTCCTGTAATAAAAACGCAGAAGAATTCGGATAGAACGAGAAAAGTTATTTATAAAACTTAATCAAGGAAGATGGGATAGTTTGGATTTCACCGAGACACCTCAAGGCTTATGGTCCGCTTTCAATTCTTTTCAGTATCCTACTTTTGTCTCTGCTCCAATGGGCTCTGATATATCTTATTTTAATAAACTAATAATTATCCATGCAAAAATTGTGCAGAAGCATGTAGAAGGTCTTCTGCACTTCTGCAAATAAAAATGCAAGAACAAACACTATTAGTTAACCGCAAAGTGTTAGTCTGACAGTTAAAAGGTTTTTTTTTTTTTATTATTTTGACTTTATAAGTTTAAATCATTTTGAACTATCTATTATTTTTATGATTTATCTTGAAATATTAAATTTATAGGGTATTTAATAGACTCTAAAAATTAATTGAGATATACAAAAAACTGGTCTAAATATCTGGATTATTAATAAAAAAAATTATATATCAGTTGGCAGTTCTTGCATTTTCAAGCATTGCCAATTACAAGATTTGTAGTAATAAAAACAGTGAGATGATTCACATTAATAGTGTATATATGGTTTTGTTATGACATGGTTGTGATTTTATTTATTTTTTGGCGGATCAAGGAATGCAATTTTTTTTTTTTTAATAAACTAAAACTACTAATTGTTTAAAAATTTATGTTAATTGGAAAATGGGCTATCCCCACAAACTTAAAACCCATTACAAACCCAATAGGTTTCCAATATCAGCCCCAACTCCTTTTTAGGTGGATTGAATCGAACTCGAATTGGGCCGGGCTTTCATTGTCATTTCTACGGAAATAATTCACCCCTCAAATAGATCTCAAGACAAAATATAATGTGAGAATTAGCGTTAAAAAGAAGAGGGAAGTGAATTTTAACCCGCAATTAATTAATCACTATCCCACATTTTTAAATATATTTTTTGTTTTAAAAAATTCAACTATAGTTTTTAAATATATTTGAACTGTATTTTATATTTTATTATAATTTTCAACCTGTAATTTTACATAAAATCTAATCTAAATTTTCATTCCCTAACCCTAAATTTTAATGATTATTGAAGCCTTTTTAAATTTCAAATATTTATTTATTTGATGAAAATATAATACTAAAACTATGAAAAACATAATTACACAATGGGATGAATCTGAATTTGAAAAGTAAAAAGTAAGTTTAAAATTTGAAATTAGAAAATTGAGAAAAAATGATGTAAACAAAAAACCTGTTTAAGTTTGAGATCAAAGAAAAATGGTGTAAAATAGAAAAAACTAATTAAGTTTGAAATTAGGGAAAATAAACCTAATTAAGCTTAGAGGGCTACTTTCAGTATTAAATGAGGGTTAAAGAGATTTTTTTTTTTTTTTTTTTAATTATAGAGGAGGTGTATTTGGCTATGAGGGATATCGGTCAATTTGGTGGGGGCTAAAAAACACTTACAATTAAAAAAAAAAAAAAAATTGCTTGTTAATAAAGGCAAAGCTTAATTTAGATTTAGCTCGGGCAAAAGCTGGACTGTCACAGGTAATTTTTATGAAAAAAATTGTAGGGTATTGACAATAATACCATTGTGTTATATATAATAAAATTATTACGAAAAACACAATAAAATCTTCTACAAGACTGCAACTACAACAACAAGCATAGGCATATTAAGTTTAAAATACATGTGAATCAATAGGAAGTCACAACATGAACCATTTGAATCCATACACTATTTAATTTGATCATGTTCATGAACATCTCACGCTAGTCAAAAGTGATCATTTTTTTCACACCCAAGACCGAAAGTACCGTAAGCATCTAGGTAATGTGATAGTTTTACCACCTCATTTAGATAAGG